AGTTTAATTTCATTATAACAATTCCTGCCGGGAGCCGGTAAGTAACAATTGCGATCAACTTTAACACTGAACGCGCTGTATTTAAATGTTTACATAAGTATAACAAATTTTATCTGCCTGTGTGTGTGATTCTTAAGTATGAGACTTAAAATAAAGTTTTATTTTAAACTTACAACTACTTTCTTGCATTTTAAGTAAAATGTATATTTCTTCTAAATTTTACAAATACGTATACCTAAAACTACAATTATTTTGAGACATCTCAATACAAGTTTAATATATTTCAGTTTCATGTCTTTCTGTTTTTCTTAAGTTACTGCAACACTGTGATATGTACATATTTACACTCTATTCATTTATTATACTTGGAAATTCATACTCTTCAGGATCGTTGTAATAGAAATATAATCTCCTCTATCTATAGTCAAAAGTCATCGTAAAGTAAGGCTATTTATGGTATTGAATAACAACTGTCTTAAATGTAAACAGACTTAAAAATTACGTATTTATCACTTTCTAATATAATTTAATTTTACAGTTATTTTAAGTACTTTCTTCACAAAATGTCGTATAAAGCTGGAGAAAGTAAATACTATAATAGGGTATTAATTACCAGCTGGAATTTGAAATACACATGCATAATACAATTTAGTACTAAACATGATCAATGAATGTACCAAATTTAAAGTTCTGTTAAAATATACTACAAATTCCAGTGTCTATCCAGATTGCAACAAAGAGGTTCTGCTACTTTCAAGTTTACTAGACGACATAATTAGAACTATCTCTTATACCAACGTTTTATAAGAACCTATCGCATCTATCTTCAGTGTAGGAAACATAAGCGTTTCTCCGAAATGTCTTTAACCACCTACAACACTGTATGGTAACATAATTCAGAAGATTAAAATTAATATTTTCACTGAAGTGAAAATCTAAAATCTCGAACTATAATTTATTTCTAGGGCAGTAAAGTTTCGAGTCATCAAAATATTTGAGAACACATTATAAATACGGTTTCAGGACAGAAACATCTCACTTGAAGAAACCAAAATCAAAATTTTTTTCTCTACTGTATACAAAGTATGTACATATAAATTCTTGGGGAGAATGGTTTTAACCCTGGGAAGCAAATCCAACATTTCATCAGATATCAAAGTTATTTGAACATAAACTTTAAATTTACTTATACATCAACAAACTTTCACTTTCGTAAAACAATTTAGAGTTTAAACCATACTATAATTTCAATAAAAATATAACCATATAACATGAAATTTTACCTCAGAAAAATTAAAAATTAAAAAATTTAATAAAATGAGAACAGGATAAAAATGACATGCTTCATATTACTCCGTTCCACTACAGCAACAGAAGCATATATACATGTTGAAATAACGTCTGAAATTCCCGTTAGCAACATAAAGTGCTATCGGGTTGATAAACGAGTTGAACCACACAAATACCCAAGGAACGAGAAACGGGTGGTCTTCGGACTGTTCTCCTATGTAGGGCGGTATGAAGGGAAGACAGCAATACGGGACGTAACTTACAGCAGAGACCACTATCAGAGCCACCAGAGTATTGGCACTTCTTGCACGGGAATTTCTCAGCGTCTCGTGGCCACTGGACCCACAGTGGATGCTCTGGACACACAAACCCAACTGTAACGACGTTCCTACAGAAAACAGTGTCGAGCAACAGAGCGGAACTGCACAGTAAGTGATAAGAACGTACAATGACACAGTGTAATATTCTTCTATAACGGAGATTAACGGTACTGGAGCCACGCACGCCAAAATTGCGGAAGTAAGTGCATGGGCATGGGGACTGTAACGCCTCAACACCTTACAACCAGAATTGCGACGATTATTGACAGGAAGTGCTGTCAAGTACATGTGACAACTGAACATCATAACAGAGTAGATGTTGAGACCGATTACCATGTAGAAAACATACGTCACTGAGAGAGGTGAATGTATAGAGTTCACCAGGAATATGTCAATTGGAGGACTATGGAGTACAAGATTCAGCATGTCAGCGATTGCAATATTTATGATAATTAATTTGCAGTCTTTACGCATTTCTTGGTGTCTTATGAATATTCTGACGAGGATGCAATTTAGAATAAGTCCAATGACGTAAATGGAAGACAGTATGACAATACCAGTGGTTCCGCCGACTTGTTGAATTGGAATTCCAAAATATGTATATTCATATTTCGAGCTCAAGGCAATGGGCAAATGCAGAAATGTAATGGTCTGTGTGTCACAATTATTTGCACTTACAAATATTTCAACCGAACAATATTCCGTGGAATTTCCACATATATCTCCTATATATTTTATTTCATTAAGCATGTAAAATTGTTCCCATATTCTTTGAGCATCAGAGACACTTAATCCAAACGTGTTATTGCATACAGTATCGTTATATCTGAATATTAAAATGTTATGAAACTTTGCAGTCGAACACACAACAAAGTCACATTCTTCAAGTTCTTCATACGTTTGACAAAAGGCTTCGTTAAATTTAAAATTGTTGAAGATATCAAATATTTTATCGCAATTTTCAGATTTGTTCACTGCATGTTGACTTATGTTTATAATTTTCACCATGTATTTAAAGTTGTCTAAGTGGTCCGGCGTCTCTTCTGTCAGGTTAGAGGCAAATTCTTTGTCATGCCGTGTATTGTTGATAAAGCACTGCGTGACGCTCCTGGCTTCCTCCTGCGAGGTCCTGTCTTCCTTATGCAGGCCAAGCCAACAGCTGAAGTTATAGGTTATGTCTGTCGGCTGCAACGAGTGAACGTTTAGCAAGTTCGTCACGGTAAACCAGTAGAAGAAGTTAAACATCTGTCAGGACAGAGCGAAATGTTGACATGTGTAAAACAACTGCTTCTTTTGTTTCATGAAATAGGGTACAAGTACAAATCGGATAGAAACAATAAATGCATAACCATTTTTTGATGAGATGAGAGTATACAAATAAAATATATCCTGCATACGTAGACTGCCAGGATTGTGACTAAATGAGAGCTTTTGTTTTGAAACTTACGTTTCTACTACTCAATTTTATTATTATTATTATATATCATGTTATCTTTACATTTTCTGTGCTAGACCTTATTTAAACAACGTTCTTTAATCAGTAATCTTTGTAATTTCTTTTCGTATTAAATAAAAATCACAATTATTTAGATTCAACAGTTGACAGATGGCGGGATACGTGAATGACAGTAATACTCTCAAACACAAAATAATTCTATCCTATAAGATAACTCTAATTATAAGTCAGATATATCGTACGTCGCATGGAAAGGATTAACATGAATTTTAAGGAAAAGTTGGTTTAAGCAACGGCTGAAGATGAAGACAGTATTTCCCTCAAATTTTGGAAGGCTAAACATAGCCAGAAAATAAACATAGACATTACGGTCCACGTAGTTTAACGTCTAACATTATTTGCGAGTCTCCTCTGTCCGTCCATCTATATGACGGGCTAGTGCCTTCACACATGGCACATAACTTATGCAGTTCAAGGCACGTTTCGTCGTTAACCAAGGAATTAAAAATAAAAATCATTATAAACATTTAATTTAAGACTTCTAATTTAATTTACTAATGACTCATTAGTATGTGTAACTTTCATCTGAAATTGTTTTAAAACTGCTGTACACTTCATAACGAATGCACACCCATGTATTCAGCATGAAGTTAAAGATGGTGCTTAAAATATTGATATGCATTTTAGATGACTGGTGCATATTAATTAATTATGAAATTAAACACTAATTCATTCAAAGTATGTCCTGCAGATCAGCTTAGCATCAAAATAGCAACATTTCTCAAGACATATACAATTCCTCATCATACCCTGGCGACTGCTTAGGATTAAACAAGCGAAGACTACTGTACCAATGGAGTTAAAGCAAGTGATATCACTTATTAACACTCACCCAGATTCTTCCTGATAACATCACAGCATCCCCGTTGAGGGTCCAGAGCCTGAAGTGAAATCCAACTAGTGACACAGTTTTCTACACTAAGCTGAGCTCCCCCTCCCCCACTTCACCTCGTCGTCCACTTCCCACTTCGGCGCCGGGGCAGATCGATTGCCCAGTCGACCAGATTCCACACGTCGATCTTTCCAGCACCTCGAAAACCGATAACTGATACTCTGATCGCTTAACTGGTGAGGGTAGGTTATTGAAATAAGACACACTGCAAGTCACTTTTCTTACTCAGGAATTGTTACTAAATTTTACTGGTTGATACAGGCCGATGTTAAGGCAACACGTGCGTTTTATTCCAATACTGCATTACATTTCGGCGAAAAAAATGTAGCCGTATTCATGGATGTATACTTGCATTAAATATGGGAATTCGACGGATATTTCTTATTATTTACAACCTGTTGACACTGTGTGTCATCGGATAATAAATATAATGATGAGGATTATTGTATTCTTGTATATTGCGTCATGTAGTCTGGTAGAAGTTTACCGAAGTTTAAGAGGCACATAATGCTTCCATTATCAGTGTGATCGCATTCCTCAAACGTCGGTTAACATCTACCAGACTACAAGGCGTAACATTTAGAAGACAGTCATCTTCACACTCGCAGCCGTGAGAATCTAATATCTCACCAAATAGAATGATGATTTTGGATGAGAGAGGTGTAAGGAGTTGTGATGTAGCCTCTTGCCTAGAAGGAATAATGGAAAGTATATAAAACCTGTTAGAACTTCCGTTTCAAAAGTTGAATTTGAATTCTTACATAATTCTTTACATCTAAAAGCACTAGGCCCATGGACCTACACAGAGAAAAAAGAGGGAAGATAACAGACAAATAGTATGAAAAACAAAACAAAGAAATCATGAATTTTAAAATATTATAGAAGTATCGAATGAGCATGGAAGTATCCACTAAAGTCGGTGAAAGCATCACTTTGTCTGCACGCTCCGTCTCTTGTAAATACGGCCACTCAACAGGAGTGTCGCTTGTCGGATCGATACTCACTGACGTCAGTGAGTACTAAGCGCAGTGTTCCCCAAGAGAATCCAAAGGTCGCTTCTGTCTGTACATCAGCCAGGTCTCGTTTATCTGAGTTACGTGTTTCTAAGGCCACGTTTTTCCATTCCTGTTATTCATGACAATGCTTTACATTAATTCCCATTGTGTATAGCAATAACGAGTGGCCACTGCACAGGAATTGATAAAGCAGGCATGCAAAAGTTTGATGTACAAAACTGTTGGAATAATAAATCGTGAAAGATCTCAGAGAAAGTAGAATGATAAATTATAAAGCAGAAGCAACAGGTTTACAATGTTATAGCTTAAAATATAACACAAAGGGAAAGAAAGAGAAATACAAGTAGAAAAGGGATGTAGAGATAATGAAAAAGGATGTAGCTAGCAAATGGTAAGAACAAAGAAAGAAGACTGATCAACATGATTAAATATTGTTGTTCCAAGTTCAGGATATATACACAGCTGAATATGACGGAAATATCATAAATGTATGTAAACAGTTGACTAGAGTCGGTCGTGAATCTTGTTTCCCAAAGTTCTTAACACCTGTGGAAAAATATGTAAACATTAGAGACGATAGACGGTACTTCGGCGAAGAATCGAAGCAAGTATCTTGCGAGAACAAATCTAGCGAGCTACAACTGCAATGAGACAAAACATATTTATATAAGGTAATGTTTTCTTTTTCTTTCAAGGACTAGTTGGTCGATAATTCTTACCAACCGAACCTGATATTCCGGGTTGAGTGGACATTTCCGTTTGTAAGTTGTTTCGTAATCCTTTAGCTTGCCTTAATGGTCGTTGGTTTGAATCTTGTTTCGAACATGATACGACCAGTCGTTCAGTTCACCAGACACAGGTACACGTCTTCCTATGGAGTCACAGGATTCAAAACTTCAGATACGTGCGAAGGCTTCCCCTGCTTATTGTTGAAACCCTTTCATGTGGGAAAAACCCTGAAACTGTGCGGGAATGAATTATGGCTCTAACGAGACCTACGTGTACACCCTCAACTCTGAGGCAACCCGCTTGCTAGGTGACCTCCGGTAAGCGCACGTAAAGATGGCGACTGACTTGTAACATTTACTCGTAATGTAACATTCGAGGCGAGCATGTTACATTACACCACAACTGGTGAGGCGTATCGAATGCTCGTTTTGAACGCTCGGCTCGACTGTGCTCATGTGTGCTCCATTCATTTCATTCAATATGTCGGACGTGGAGGTTGTGTTATCTTTGTTTCATTTAATACGCTACTCTTATCTAAAGAACTCGTGAATGCTCGTTACGACGCCGCTCGACTGACTGACTGACTTGTAATGTAACACTCAAAGGGATTCGCGAAAAAACCGACAATAATTCCATAATCAAAATAAAGTTTCGTAATGGAAAATCTAAAGGATATAAACGGATGGAGGCAAAACAATAGTACTGTCCCCAAGTTACAGAAACTAGAGGGAAGATGGCTGTCTTCAAACTCACCGCCGTGAAAACCTCAAATCCTACTTACAGTAATTAACTTAAATTAAAATTAAAAGAAAGGATTGTCTCTAATGTCTCATATTTTACGATTTTCGAAAATTAATCGATTCTCAAATTATACAAATTTTAAGAGTATTTTCAATTTAGAGCAACACATGCAATGTGAATGATGGCATTTCACAAATATCATACGTTCATTGCCAGTAAATTCCGAACGTGATGGACGAGTGGTAATCACTCACGTTTCGTATCTGGGAGGCAATGGCTTAGAAATCATCTATCCTGGCTCAGGTATCTCGTTCTTCTTAGTAACTCCAGGAAAACGCCAGGGCTACCTTAAATTGGGCCACGACATGTCCTGTCAAATCCATTATTCATTAATTATTCTAACATTCGTCACCATGTACTAAGTTCCTGACAGAGTCGTTAAATAAACCATTTCAGGGCGTTAAATGCTCGAGCCATAAATCATCTTCAGACGAAGTTTTCATTTGCAGGAAACACACCGTCGACACGTATCTCAATGCTTTATGACAAATCCGTCGGATGACGAACAGAAACACGTGTCCTTGAACGCAAGACTGCATGGTCCATCGAGGATATGATTACGGGATGGTGGGAATACAGAGAGGAAGGGGGAAGGAGAGATTGCTCTGGACAAATATTCCGCCTCCCGAGGTTATGTTAATCAAATCAGATAAATGAATTCTGCCCACATACGAAGAGGAAATGAAGCTTTGCGTGAAGTGAATGCACATGGAGTACATTGTGACGACCCGTCTGCTGTATATTGCTAGTCCGAAACTACAGTACAGATTTCGATTAAATTTGGTACTGATCAAAGGGCTTTTACAGAACAACTGATGGTTGTCGTGCCAACGCGTTTGATTTTAGAGGAAGAACACGAAAAGTTCGTCGTATAATAAACTGGTACATTATATGGACTACGGATTTCATTTTAGGATCTGAGGTTCTCACGGCGGCGAGTATGAAGGCGCCTGTCTTCTGGGTTGTAGCGCCGTCATCACCCTGATGATGGAGGCAGCAAAGACCTCTGAAACATCTACCAGACTACACGGCGCTACAACCCATCTTCATTCTTGCTGCCGTGTGAATTGAAATCTCACAACATAAATTTAACTAGTGTTCGTTAAAGTGTTTTCCTTTGTGACATTTAATCTTGAGTACGAATCTTGCTTTTTGCATTTCCACGGTCCCACATCGGAATTAGGCTTAATTTTATCTGCATATTTATGTCATTATGACGTCAGATGGCGAATTGTGAGGATTTGTGTTGATGTTGTGGTAGCCTAAACTTGAAGACTCTATCATGTAATACGCTTGGGAAACCTGAGGAAAACGACGAGAAATATTACTTAGGAGACTGGGCAGTAAACCGAGATAATAACTAGGTTTATTTATGACTTTGCTATATTTAACAACGTTTGCAGCTACTCAGGTTACATTGCGTCGAATTATGCGATGATCAATGAACTGATAAGGATATGGAAGAAAGCGATTGTGGCCAAATCTAACGTGCTATCCAAGCATTAGTCTATGGCGACTGAAGGAAACCACGAAAAATTCAATCAGAATGGCCGGGATCTACCGAATACGGAGCAGGAGTTATAGCCAGGTAGTGTCTAAATAGCCACGGTGGTCTAGCGGTTAGAACGCTGGCCTTGTAATCCTGGGGTCTCGGGTTCGATTCCCGAATTTATAACTTGTGTTGGGCAAGGCCGTGGTCTAGGCAACACGGAGTTTTCCTCCGGGGGCTTCCCCGGTTTCTCCGTGGCATCTCAACAATTACTCTATTCACACACAGAAGAAGGCAATGGCAAACCACTTCTGGATCATCTGCCAAGAACGTATATGAACAGGTCCCAGTCCGAGAAAAGGATGGAAGGATCCTGTTCATATGGACCTGGCGTCAGACAGAACACTAAAAACCTAATTGTCTAAATAACGTCCATAGAGTTATAATTATATGTGTTTGTGTTTGGAGAAGTATTAGCACTTCTGAGAATGGATCCCCGCCGTGTGAGGAAAAATACTTCGTAAGGGGAAAATCACGTAGCAGCCACATAAACACGAACAGGAAATGGTAACAGAATTCACGCCTCGCGCGTATTTATTCTTGCTTCAGTTGCAGCAAGACCGTCAACTCTTCAAGGTGAGAAGAAGAGGTTTGGTGAAACGTGTCGTACAGATGCGTCGTAGTATAACGCGAATGCTCACTGGCAGTGACGTGTGTGTCAAACAAACCTAAGAATTTCATGTACGGTGGCGTTGGACTTAAAATTTCGTCTCCAAATTTGAAAATCTGTGATATTATAAATTGACGTGTTGTAAATTGAACGAATATCAACAAGAAAAATGGAGATACATCAGTCATTGAGATTAGATCGATGTGTTGATATGAAACAAAGGATTGAAAAACATTTCATGCACTTAAAATCTCACAAAATACAGGTTAAAATGGATAGAGCATGGATATAATTTTCAGTGTCAGAAGTACAGAAAACAAAAGTCATTAGAGTTGATGTTTGATGATAAAAAGACTTTTCAGTGTAAAGAAGATATTGGAGATGATTTCTTCAGTGACATCACGGTATTTGCTAATAGTGAGTACAGACATTTTATAACTTTAATAATGAACCTTGTCGTAGAGTGAGAAAAGAAAATGCATAAACCGATTTGTGTATGTAACTAAATTGCAACAGTGGGCTATTCTTAAAAGTACCAATAATTTTCTTTAATATTTTTAAGTAACATAGAAATGTATTAAGATTTCTGGTTGGTAAAAATCTTCATACTCACCGCTGTGAAAACCTCAAATCATACATAGAAATGTATTGATTTTATTTACAAATTTATGGCTTTCATATCGTCTGTTTCGCGCGAAATTGTCAAAACCAGAGCCAATATAATAGCAGACCTTAACAGTTAGAGAATTTACTTGATTAACAAAAAACTCTCGTGACCAACTTCTGAGCCTTATCGTAATACTATGAGAGAACCTGGTATTAAATGAACAAGTCCCACATATCTACTGGCACTAATGCATTGCTGAGTTAAGGATGATGGAAAAGAATAAATCGGTTGAAAAGCACTGAAATTATATTTCATTTGGCAGGCTTATTTAATAACTTCGTGTTAGGAAAATTAATTTCGCTTTATGAGCGACTGTTACTTATTTATCTAAGGTAATTCAGTTTTTATTTCAGTGATCGATTCCATGGCACAAGTGTTTTATTCATCCTGAAACATTTTGTAATGCGTCCAATCCTCATCGCCACATTACCCATCGACATTAACCTTTCAAATTTTATATAAGTAATTGTGTTATATTTACAGACGCTGCATATAGCTCTCCGGATGCTGTCGAGTGTCAACTTACAAGGAGTACAGGACGAGAAGAGCACATGTAACTTCACTTCAATAGAAGATTCTTGTCCACAGTCTGACTCCAGTATTACCACAGATGAGTTGTATCAAGAAGCTACAGAAATCTCAGAATGCATAAACAGACAAGAGCATACACAGATAACTCAAAACGAAGTAAATATGTTTGGATCTCTGAAGTGCCTGATCAGAGACATTCAAATGAACACTGAGAATCTGACAGGGAAATTTACAAAACTTAATAAAATATTTCTAAATGCAGAGTTGGAAATATCAAATCATAGCCAGAAGAGGCTTCAGCAAATTAAATGTTTTTATTGTGTCATTTATGAACTGAATTTTCTTTTAAATTCCTATTACTACTTAAATACGTTAAATTATGAAATAACTCGAAAACTTTTTAATTTGCTTGTGTATGTACAAATATCTGAAAATGTGGCAAGTGTTATGGATAACAACTTATTTGAAGCAGAAGCATGGGAAGATGTCTTTATTATTTTGACAAATAATACATTTGATTCAAATGAGATACGAACACAAGTTGAGAGAGTAACAAATTATAAGACAGCAGAAAAGAAAATGGAAGTGAGTCGGGTAAAGCACTGTGGGTTTGGTAGCAAGTGCTTGCTGAGACCGATACTGTGGATCCTGTATATCATTGCAGTTACTGCAAATGGCCTTTTAATATTCATTTTCATTCGTCATTGCGAGATGAGGTCAGAAAGGAACATAATAATACTTAACCTGGCAGTTGCTGATATTCTGGCAGTATTGTGCAACGCGTTCTTCCAAATTCTTTTCATTTGCGGAAGAACATTTGAGAGTGTGAAGATATATTTCCGGATAATTGACTTATCACTTGAAGTCACAACAGGCGTGTGTATATATTCCATTGTCGTTCTAAGTGTTCAGAGGTATTTTGCAGTATGTCCTACTCACAAGTGCAGTAAATGCGGTCTCGCAAGGCGTTTTAACTCTAAATTGTTCGTGTGTGTTTTGTGGGTCGCCGGTTGCGTGCCTCAAATTATACAAGTGACTTCTTACATCAGTATTCGCGCTTGGGCTATGCGTAATTTGATTTTGTACTGTGTGATACCAGTTATTGCTATGGCAACATTCTACTTCATGACGTCCTGGCGATTGAGGCAAAGTGTGCTGAAGATGCCGGGTGAGGCGACATCTCAGGAAACAATCCGACACGCCCGTGTGAGGAGTTCCAATGTCCTCATCTCCTTGATTGCGGTGTTTTTTGTCAGTTACACCCCAATACAGTTGTTCAGATTTATAGAATTGTGGTTTTATGGTGGAGGTTACCTCTTCGATTATGTTGACTTGATAGCTTTCTCAATGCTGTCTCTCAACTCTTGCTTCAACCCTGTGGCTTTGTACGTTGCCAGTGGATCTTTCAGAAAGTATTTTAACAGGTATCTTTATTATAGCTGGAAGAATCATGAAGTCAGTCCAACCAGTTCAAAAACAAGCGTTCAGAATATTAATGAGACATGTGTATTACATTTTTAAAGCCTCAGAATCTTGATAGTGTGTTTAAAGCTACAATAACTGTACATTTGAAAATGCATGTAGTTAAAATAAATACAAACTTCACAAAATATGCGTTCAATATTCACGTATAAATTAAATATCTACGTTCCTCTGTCGATTATTTATATTACTTTAAATAGGATGAGGAATAAGGCTAGTTCTCTTCCAAGTTTCAGGTAAACAAGATTAAACCGTCCATTTTCAGTCCATATCACTGCAGGCTTCTATATTTCTCCTGACTCTCACATTGTATACAAAATATTCTGTGGTTTCCATGTGACAGAAATCGCTGAAGGGTGGTCGAAACCTGGCCAATGTGAATTATAGACTTCTACACTTTTCTGTGCGGCTTTTTAAATTTTCTAATTTTATCAATTTCTCAGAGAATTTAAAGTGCATGAGCTTGTATAATTAAATATGAGGACGTTTGTCGATCACATCATTATTCTGGATTAAACATTCCTCTTAAGTCTATTAAAATAGTAAAGAAGTTGGAGAATTTTATAAACAAATTGTTTCACCGTACAGAAGACAGTACGAATTTAAAATTCGCGCTGTCAGAATACTGCCTGAGAGAAGCAATTCTTAATATTTAATCCAGAAAAATATGCTCTGAGTAACTTAACCGAATTAAAGCCAGCAAATTGCAAAGAACTGCAAAAAATTATAAGCTTCAATTTTTTGAAGATGGCTGTCTTCTAGGTTGTTGCGCCGTAAAGTCTGGTAGACGTTTACCGACGCTTCAGAGGTTCTTGCTACCTCCATCATCAGGGCGATCGCACAAGTGACAGAGACAACGCCGTGAAAACCTCAAATCCTATTCTTTATAATTTTACTTAACAACAAACATATTAGATATACACAAACACGTGCAGTTAATGTAAATACTTCCTCTGTTGCAACTTAACCATCTCAGACAGATGTCACATTTCAAGGCAAAGTTCGTGCGCTGAATAACCTGTAGAGTTATTATAATTCGTCACGTGACTTAGCGGTTGAATTTTAAGAAAATCGGTTTAGACGCAGACAACTCAACAAAAACTGATTGGTGTGAGCCATTTAATAATAAAACGTTTGTAAACTGACCTGGAGAGGAAGTGCTTTTGTTTTCCAAACCGGAAACGGAAATCCTTTGATAAAGACGTGCATCACGAAGTGCAAATTTGCAGAGTAAAATTTTGTTGACAGCCTTTTTGTTAGAGATAGAAGATTACCAATTAATAACCAAGAACTATAAACTACAACTTATTATTCACACCAATTAGACTCATCCAGTAGTTTTTTAGTTCCGAAAGATGGCGTCTTGAAGCAGTCTATATCTGAATCCAGAATAAAAATGTCAATGTTCTTCTTCTTGTACACAGCCATCAAAAATTTCTCACAATCCACATTAGAATATTTGTTCATGGTTTAAATTAAATACAGATTGATTGGATTAATAAATACAGAATATCACTGTGACTATACAAGAGCCCAAACAGGAAACATAATATTAAGACCTGCTTGCGCCATTCCGTCAGATATCTTTCAACAGTCGAAGCTCAAGGGTCTCTATTTCACAAGTGCAACGAGTGTTCATTGACGAACACTAACTACGGTTTGGCGCCGGATATGGTAAGCGTTACCATAAACCGCACATATCACAGACAGCGTTGCGAATGGCTGTAATTTATTTCCACTGTCAGAATTAAAATAGACGCTACCATTCCGATGAATAAAATGGACAAGAGCGGTGACACTGCGTTGTGATCGACGCTGTAGAACGTCGTTTCCTTCTCCTGAGGCTGGCCGGTCAGCGTTTCACTACAAATACGACGGAAAATCCCGGAGCGCCTAATAGTGCGAAATCTGGAAACGGATAAATATTTCGTGACATCTTACATGAATTAGCTGGCTGCATGGTTGTCTGATTAAATAACTGACTGATTGGCTGGAATGTTCTGATGAGGTCATCAAGCCTGCGTTTGCATTTTACGAGGTGCGATCGGAAAGTTTCAAGACTTCGCGTATAAAAACCCGTACACTTATGTCAGGTATTAAATTCATCCATCGTCTCAAATCTCCTTCCCTTTAGCTGACTTTTCATCTTTGGGAAGAGGAAGAAGTCACACGGGGCTTAGAAAGGAAGTTGGGGTCGGTTCTTGCAAGATCTTTGAGCTCCTGACAAACGAGAAGTCGATTCTGCTTCTGGTCCTCAGACAGGATGCGTCGCATGTGGGGTTCTTCCTTTAGAATCAGCTGACAGATCCCATAGTCTATCCCAACAATGTCGCACAAGTCGTTGATGGTACGACGTCGATCTTCGTGAATGGCCTGCCGAATCTTCGTAACATTTTCGGGCGTTGTGCTCGAAGATGGTCGTCCAGAACGCTCGTCATCATCGACAGAGGTTCGGCCATTTTTAAAACGTGAATGCCACACAAAAGTTTGTGCACGACCCATTGTGGACTCCCCAAATGATTGCTTTAGCATTTCATAGGTTTCCGTAGCCTTTTTGGCGAGTCTTTGGCAAGAGATTCAGGCAGAATCGCAGATGGTGCTTGACAGGCTGACAAAGAAAGATTTCCAGGGATGCTTCCAGGCTTGGCAGCGGCGCTGGGATCATTGTGTTCACTCCCAGGGGAACTACTTCGAGGGTGATGGATGAATTTAATACCTGAGATAAGTGTACGGGTTTTTATACGCGCAGTCTGGAAACCTTCCGATCGCACCTCGTACATGTCTTAAACGTAACGGTGTAAAACACGTTCCGTTTATTCTCAGATTTGTTTCTAAAAGTTGTCCATGTGCTTACGTAAGCACGACGCCATGAAGGAGTAAGAGGAGTGGAGGTACAGATCCACACATTCTTAACCTTAACACAAGATGACGGTGGATAGTAAATTTCTTAGCCCTCATTAATACTTCAGAAAACGTTTCTGGTACCCAATGGAGAGAAGACCCAGAACCTGTCAGGACAATACAGTAAAGAAATCCGTGGCTGTCGAGGGCAGAAGTGTGGGCGTCCCGCCCATGGACTAACAAATTCGCTACATCGGAAACAAAATTAATTTGTTCTAAAAAGAATTAACTATTTATCTGGTACGCAACGGCCAACTGAAATTAAAGCTGTTGTAGATACTCACGTTTGCTTTAGTACGGTGCAACGGCCAATTGAAGATAAAGCTGCTGTAGATACTCACGTTTGCTTTAGTACGAGTCGATATGGACTGCCCTTGACCGCTGCCATGGCCTTCGTGGAAGAAATGAAAGCATGAGGCACTGTTTGTAGTGTGCATGTGGCAGCATTGGTGAGGAGCACGTATAATGGTGACATGTATGCGTAGCGTCCGTCTTCACAAGCACGACGTAGACCTTCATTGTTTCTTTTCGGGAGATTGCCGATGTCAGGCAGCAACGACTCGTATACCTTTTGTAACAAAGTTTCGCTTGATTCCTACTCAAAAGAAGAGATAAAACTCGTTTATCGGTGTGTTGCTTCACGTGCTTATATCGACTGTGGACGTTGCTTTAAATGAAAATCGTTACGAAAATTTGTGTTGGGAAGACATGAGATCGATTATAGGCTATGCTGACCGGATTTGCAAAGATCCGTCTAATCCTTCCATCGGCGGAAATTAGTCACTATCGTCATCTTCAAAATCTGTTCTTACTGACGATTCACGTTTTCCCCTGTCTTATACGATTCTACATAACATGTGCATTGAAATAGCGTCTTTAAAACATTGGATTAGGCCAATCTTCAGGACTGTCATCAAGTTGTGTGTGACAAAATAATTTCCACTATAATAATGAGGTCAAAAGTGTGAACCGACATATTGTACCTTCATGTTGCTAATTGTTGATGAGTTGGCAACGACCCCAAGTCTGTAAGTTCCATCGTTCAGGAAATCCTGAAAGGTTTTGAAGGGCAAGATGGCTTTGCGCGAGGCAATGGTCGAGACCAGAGCCCCGGAGTAGCTCGTAAACATTACCACAGACATAAAACAGGCCAAGATGTGCACCGTACGGCAGGAGACTCCTCGCGGCACAATTTCGGAACCTGAAGAGACAGAGTAGAGAGTCTATGACGTCATGTGTGAAACCTCTGATAAATTATTTGGTAATTTAAATTTGTGGTACCTGTCAATAAACGGTTAGTTACTAGCAAATTCCTTTACAGGGTAATTCAAAGTGAAATGATCGACTACCTTAGAGATTTTAAGCGGCGCTACACAGCGCTATTGACTCACTGTCTTGTGTATGTAAATTTGACTTTTCGTCCAGTGTTGTGAGTGAGTTCTCTCATTGGCGGCACAGTATGAGTTAATTGAAAATGAGCAAAAAATCACACTTGGATGGATCAGTAACCAGCTGCAGAGAGCGTTCATATTTCATTACCTTGACAGCAGAAACACGCTGTGATGTGAAACATTGCATGGGATAACCCGCAGCGTTGCATTTGAAAGTCAGTATGACCGACAAACTGGCTTCTGACGTAATATATTGCTGCAAGACAGACAATTAACAGGGTGGCAGCGGCTGTAAAAGCCAGCCACAGCTGCCAGCTGTACGGCTTGAAGAACGTTGTCCAGCCTACCGCAACATCATCGACTTTCTTTAAGAAAATATATGTCCTGAAACAAAATTGAGTAAGTATTGACCAAACTATTTTGTATTACGTTCATAAACAATTTTGTTCCTAAAGTAATTGTGTATTGTGGTAGCGATAGATAGGGAATTTATCAGAGTTGGAAAGATTGGGAAATTAATGTGGATGACAATTTGGTTGGAAAAGAAGTTAAGAAACCAAGAAAAGCGGGGAAATTCTAGACAGGATGAGTAAAATTCAATATCTCTAAAGAGTTGCTTGGTAGCATTTTACTTTTTGTTGCTGATATGTGAAAATACTCGTCAGTAGTCGATATATCCGAATATGATATAACTGATAATTTAATCGGCTCATTGATGAGTATTAACAACACATTTTATGTACATAATAAATACTGGTTAATTTATATTTAAGTGATTCAATATAAATTTATAACTAATCCCAGGTAGCATATTTTTCCTTGGGAAGATTTGTCACTCATTTGGTCAAGCAATTTCCCGGCTTTTATGGAACAAGAAGGTGTGTATTTATCATCACCGACATACAATATATATGCCCAGTCCAACTTATTATTTCTAATTATATCACCATAATAATATCTGCTGTAAAGTATAAATTGCCATAAATTTCTTTATTATGTCATTTGCTCTACCCTCCAGTTATGTTTCTCCGCTAGATTCAAACATTCTCTTCAGAATTTTCTAAACATAAAGTCCAATACAGTTTTAAATGAATCCATGACGTGTACAATTACATTCTTATTGTCATTTAAAAGTTTTGTAAATTTTTGCTGTATTAAATTCTTCGGAGCATAAATAAAGCTATGAGCAGTCTGTTCGTATCTGCAGATACCTGTCGGTCCATATGGGCTCTATGAAGTCCACCACATCGACGCGTGACGTCGTCATGGTGAGGTCAGAACAAGAGACGTCGGCTTGTCGAGCAGCCAACATACCGACCACCCCGTTCCATTTCCCGTCTTTCAAATTCTCCCCGTGCAAATTGAGGCTAGGGGTACTAAAGTGTGACCTGAAAGGTGGACAATAAGCGTTAAATGCAGGTACGAGGTGCTTCAAAATTAAGGTCGATTCGTCGTCAATTATATTTGTGTGTTGAAATAAGAGACTCACGTAAAATTTCTGTACCGCTCTGCTACCCGCCACATCTGCCCAAAGAGCCCTCCAACTTTCAATACGTCACCTCTGTCTGCTCCAGTGACTATAGTGAGTGAATCCTGCCAGAGACAAATAAATTGCTTGTAAGTTTAGAGACAATTAGTAAGCACTGAATTTGTCAGCAAAATTATATTCAAATACAAATAGTATTCAAACCATTGATCATTAATTAACTCGAATTTATAAGCATTCAAATGAAATAATCTGGAATTAGCACATAGAGTTGTCACATTAAATCACTGATACACCGCATATGACAATAAAATTACAAAATAATTTCCTAATACTCCAGAATACGAATTAAAGCTTACCAACAAAATTGCATGAACATAAAATAAAGTTTGGAAAAATTAATAATTATTGCGAAAATCTGTATTTAAATTTATTTCTATTGATGTCACAATAATGTGCCATACTTACAAATAAAACCAAATTTAGTCTAAAGAAAATAACAGATTAATTACATTATTTACTGCCACATGAAGATTAAGTCTCTGAAGATTGTTCCTCCTATGGAGAAAGCTTTGTGACGGGTGGCTGAGTCCGGCATCAGGAGTCCAGTTGCCGAAACGGTATGTCTGCAGTGGAAGTGTTGGGCTAACACGGTACACTTCGGTCAGGCCGACGACGTGGTCATCTTCTGGCTGAGCCACCAGGAACTCGCAGTCGAAAGGGATGTTAATGTCGGTGAAGAACTCCTCCAGGGAAGAGTTCTTGTCCAGGAGGAGCAACCAGATTGAGTGTGATAAGTTCACTGCTCTCGACAGCTAGAACAGGCATATCTCTCCCACATTATAAGCCTATGCAGACAAATGACTGATCTTCTTAAACGGTTAATCGACGTGGTGATGCACAGTTTTGGCTTCGTGTACTATAAAACCAATTGTGTTTGCGTATGAACGTGATCATAAACTGAGAAATGGAGGCAGAACACTGCACAGAATAGTTATATAATGTACAAATGCCAGCAGCTTACTCATCGCCCTGATGATGGAGCCAGCAAGTACCTCTCATACGTCGGTACTCTATGCAACATCACAGAAGGAAGACATCTTCAATTGAGGAAAACAGATTGACGGTAGGTTGGTTTTATTTCATCAGTGTTGAACATTGGATCTTAGTTTCATAGTATCAGCGAGGCAGCCAGTCTGTGTACCAGCAGATGTTAGTTGCAATAGTGCTGAGTGTGACAAGACATGAATCACTTTCATCTTACCTGTCTGATTCCGTCTAGCAATTTCAAGCCGCTGAATGGCAGAACGTACAGGGGACGACTGCACCTGCGATGATACCCTTCTTGCAAACCGAACAAGGTCACAACAGATATCGTAACGACTGCAACTTTGCTGTCTTTCAGTACTCTCACAACTTTTGGACGCTGATTAAAATCTGTATCATATACAAAAGAGTCTTCTGTTATTTCGTGATTGTGTGTCAAGTTTTAGGTAGCGTCTAATAAAATGGGAAGACAAATACAAAGTTTAAAAAGATTCCCTGCCTAATCTAATGCTATTAGCCTCTCATTAATATGTAAAAATAAGCGAAAACCATAAAATACCTTTGCCATAATGGCAGGTAACTGAACTGAGGTTCAAATCAAATAGGATCTATCTCTAGAATGTAAATATTTTAGTGTAAAACGTCCGTTAACATTGAACGGACAATTATTTATTTTGTATGGAAATGTATCATCCTCGTTTTTCCTTACATCTTTTGATTATGTAATCTCTATCTTTCGTGTCCTTTCTTCCACCGTTTGCATTTTCTTAATACACCAATCACATCAGATTATAAAAGCAAATATTTAGAGACGTGCTGCAATCACAACTAATTATTAATACATGCATATTTATTTGTAATATAAACATTTTCGTCAAAAGATGCTATTACAAAATAAAAACAAAGAAATGTATTTGCCGAGATACGCGTTACTTAATGTAGAAATTTATAGAGAGATGCGATCCTACTTAAATCGTTCCTTTGTGATTCGAAACACCACAAAAATGGTTTTTACATAACACAAGAAATGTCACCGCTACTCCGATTTGATCTTTGTGAAAAATTACATAATCTCTGGAACTTGTGCCAAGACAGACGGATTATATCAAATCAGAGAAACTATGATCGTTGCTGTACTGAATGTCGGAATGTATATTTTTGCTACTTCTATTACAGTTTAGACATTAATCAAGTTACGTAATAGCAATGAGGTCCGATGATGGAGGCAGCAAGGACCACCGAAATGTGGGTAAACTTCTAACAGACTACAAGGCACTGCAACCAAGAAGACAGCCATATTCGGATTCAGCATCGTCAAAACCTCAAATCCTACTAAATGACATATTTTTCCTGTTCAGTGTTACTTACTGATGTGTGCTTCTGTGTGGATCAGAAACACGCAGCTGGTGGTGAAATATCTGTGTGTTGCAGAAATAATGTCGGCTGTTGCCGACACAGGGACATCGGCTGCTGGATCACAGAACACAGTGCCAGCAGACAGGGACACTGACACAACCATAAGCTGACAAAGTTGTTCAACTGCTCGCTGACATTCCATAACTAACTCCTTGCCACTGCAGATACCTGAAGGAAACATTCCATAATGTGCAAACAAATGGAGATGACTTTGGTTCGCAAAATTTGAGTTTGTGACGTGAATTCAGGCAGAAAATTCCACATACAGGCAGAGTATTATGTAGCAATGATATAACAAATTTTGTGTTTATTCCTGTCTGTGTCTATCGGCAAAAAATTCTCCAGTATTTGAATGCGTTTCTCTGTGGTTTGTCTTCATATTTAATAGTTGTATACTCCACTATCGAAAGCTCTGCTTTCGTTGTCTTCATTTTATAACAAGTCGTACTGATCATTTATTTGTTAAAATGTCTTATCAATCCTACATTGGGGTCTGATTTTGTCACCGTGGAGCCGAATAGTTATCCCTTTATGCATTAATTTTTGCCAAGTAATGAAACAACAACGGATATACAATTCTTTAACATTATAAAACCGGAAACGAAGTGCATAGACGGAGAAACGATTAATAATAAATACAAATGTCCTGCGTAAAATTAAGACACATAAAAATTCTCGTGTGTATAAACTTTAAATTGTTGTGTACTACAAGATTATTATAAGAAATTCAAATCAAGCGACAAAGTACCAAACATAAATATCAACCAGGGCTGTTTCTATGTGTTTAATATATACTAAAAAAAATTTAGCATACAGTTACCACCCCAATTTTTGTAGACTTCAAAACGTTCCTTGACAAAGTGTAGGAAAGAACGCTTCGTGACATGAAAAATAAATCACAATGTAATCAAGTTTTTGTATTTTCTTGAAACGTGGCAATAAGTCCCTTTTCTTCACATTAAACTTTTCCTGAGTTGTGAAACCTGGTGCGACGCACTCGAGTTACGAAACTCTGATGCGTCTCTTTTCAGCGCAAGTGCTTTTGTGTTGTACAATGACGGTAGTTCCCAATTTATTTCGTGACAGTTAAAAGCGACTTTCGTCATAAATATTAAAGATTAAAGGCTTTTCATCACAACACTTTCATCAGTAACACACCAACAGCATACGATAAACCCACGTAAAATTATAGACTGCCAATGCATTAAATGACTGACGTTCTAAACTGTAATTGTCAGTAACTTCGAAAGAGGCCTTTTACTACTTTGCTGCACTATAATCTATAACGTTTGCGAAGTTTAGAATTTAGAGTGTTAAGTATGAAGTTATTGTTACTTCAAGTAATTCTTCTAGCATTCACTATTACACGCAAATCATTAAGTTCATCCTCTTCCCGATAAAATAACTTACTAACAAACTGAATGAATGATTTAGCCACTAAGGGCTGGCGCGCACGAGCTTTTGTCCTGCCGCAGATGTAAAACTACCCCAACCGAATATTTTTATTTGAACCCAACACCGCTTAGGGACTTCCTCATAACCTTCCTGGACTTATCCAGGATTACTCCAGCACTTCCGCATAACCTCTCCAGGACTTATCCATCACTACTCTATGACTTATCCAGGATTTCTCCAGGACTTCTCTCCAGCATTTCTCCAGGACATCCCCAAGACCACCCGATGAACATTTCATATTTATATTCATATTTCCTGTTATAAGTAATCGATTTCGACCTTAAAACCTCGCTGTCAGCACTCACATTAACTGACAGTGACAGGTGTACAAAGAATCGATAACAGGAGATATAACCGAATTGGTGTAAAGAAATATCTTCACATTAATGTAAACACTAGTACAGATACTGTACTAAATGTTTCATGAACTATGTGACACACATATGTATTCCTTTAATTATAACGGGTTCCTTCATTTTGAAGCTCTGAAATATAAATGGAGGAAAAATTGCTATGTTATGCTAAATGGTCAGTTCTACCGCACATGTAACTGTCGATATATTCTAATGGAATATAATCTAGTAAAATACCTCAAGAATCCTTTTTACTTAACAAATTATAAATATCTATAGAAGAAAATTCAAAAGAAATAAAATAATTCTCATTTCCGAAATGTAATAATCTTAAAGTACATTAATCAATACTCTCTTTGGATCATAGTCAAAATCAGTCCGAAAAGCTACTGCAATACAGATAAACCAGTTTTCAAAAGAACAATAAGTATTTAACAAAACACTAAACTGCTTTAAAATGAATTAATAAACATACATTGGTAGTTTCCAATGTAAAACAAACAGCGAAATCTGTTTTAAGAACAGGAATGACCATAGCAACAAACAAGCAAGGAAAAAAGAAATTTGGGCGTGTTTAATTTTAAAACAGTCAACACAAGTTCCATTTTGAAGACGGCTATATTCTGCTTTTTGCTCCGTGTAGTGTGATAAAAGTTTGGCGACGTTTCAGAACAACCTACAGCCTTCATCACCCTGCTCATGGAATCAGCAATCTCGTCTGATATGTCAGTCAGTACAGGACAGAATTTTATACAAAATCCGTTTCAGATAAATGTTGAATATAAATACTATTAAGTGTGTGGTTGTAAATTCATTCATTCCGCTGACCCTTACATGCATAAGGCTGGGTTTACGAGAAAATGTATCCTCATCTTCTGCAAATAACTGTGTCGTTTCCTGCCTTTCTTACTTAAGAACACGCCTAGACGTTAAAGTGGAGTCAAACACAAGAAAACAATTAAAATGTAAATGCATTATTTACTAATTGGTAGTATTGCACAATAGAAATCCCTATATTCAATTCTTACACTTTATCGAAAACAGAATGAGATTAAAATGGGTTATTGTACAACTCAATCCATAATCTGATAACATCTTACAAATTATACCAGACAGAAATGTCGAAATACAGGCCAGAAGTAAATTCGTAATGAAGCAAGGTCTGAAATATGTACACATTTTGAGAAACAACATCTTGAATTCCTTATTAAAACATTTATTCCTTTTAGAACACAAATGGCCATACTGTAAATAAAACATTTTGAATTGGGAAAGTTTTTAAGATGAAAAAGAACACACACAAACTTACATTACATTATCACATAATAAAATTCGATAATATTGTGGTTAAGACGATACAGGTACAAAGTGCTTTATTCTTATACCGTGTTCATCAGTTCTTTATTAGTCCGTACTGAATGCAGCAAAAACCAATACAATGACATCAGAAGTAATTCCCAAGTTCTTCTTCGTAGTTAGAAACAGCCCGAGACGTGAAAATGAAGCTGTTGATTTTGCTAGGATTCCTGGCTTACTGTTCTTGCTTAGGTTTAGAAGAATTTGTTGATATTGTGACAGACGTTAAAAGGTTCTTCAGAACACAATGTCTGCACATCGCACGAGACGAGGCGGGTGGTAAGTGGGTGTTTCTTATATTAAAAAATGTGCCTCCCTTTTTGTATTATATAACAACCTGAATATTTTGGTTTAATAAGTAACAAATATCACCATATTATATGATCTGAACCTTTAATAGCTACTAAGTATAATGAATTCCTCTGGGGCTACCAATCGTGTAAGGTCGTTCTCGTAACGTTGTAATTTCTCCATTAAACCGAGAAGAACTCATTATGCTCACTGACATTCTTCAAGCCCCCTCTAGTACGGTATTTCAGAGGATAAAGGCCGTAACAGCGTTGAACTCTTAGCTTGCAAGTAGTTTAAACGTGTGTTGACGCTTAACTGTGCCATCTGCACATCTGAATGGAGTGGTGCTATTAGCAATTAAAATCTCACCAGTTTCAGGAGTGTGAAATGTGGTCCATATAAGTTTGCAGGTTTGCAAGACCAGAAAGTGCTTATAGTGGTTATGAAACTCTTTCAGAAAAATGGAGTGTCAGTAGCTACTTTACATACAACAATCAAACATCACAAGACTACACAATACCCACGATATAACTCACGACTTTTTTATATTGAACAAACATTCTAGTTTTTTATAGAACAGAAACATTTGGATTTTTGCATGTATGATTAATCAATAAATATATCTCAGGCATCAAGTTAAGAACAACTCAAAGATAAACAATATGATACATTTAATTTTTAGCATAAAGATACTTATTTTCATGCCTGTAGGCACTGAGACCTATGTACGTAGAACAAATACGATGCCTTAACATAGACAAAAACAGGGGTAAGCCTTTCCAAATTAGACTGATGATGGCGTGCTGTTGCAGTCAGGTAAATCAATAACCCGTCTACTTAGCGATTGGCCCACATCAGAGCACAAAAACTCACGAACTCTAACGCAGAAAACACTAAACAGAAAATTACGTGGTTCGATTTTATTGGAAAGACGTCTACGTAAGTTTTCAAATACGTAAGATTGATCTCAGTCCCGGAAGTGAAAGTCAGTTGCTATTGATGTATGTCCAGAGGCAGTGCAGTATCCGTGATTCAATGTCAGCCTTGAAATTCTGCTAAGAATCATTCACCTTCTTAAGTTCAAGCTTTCGTATGTCGGTACTCAGACAAATATGTTCATTGGAATAATTAGCAACATATATTTTCATCGATACATATTAAACTACTGTGTGCTTCGTACAGTGAAGACGATAGGACGTTCTCCTTCCAGTGACGTATGCAAGATGGAGACAAGTAGAACATTACACTAACGGTCTGATATACGTGTACGTGTGAATTGCCGAAATGTAGCATTGAACAACATGAATTAACTTTCGATATTACAAGTGTGCACAAAGGAGGCGTGTGATTCCTATGGTTACAGTATAATAAATTCCAGATGTACCTTATATACAGAAGTTTGTCGTGTCCAAATGTGACGTTTGTGTGTATATGTATATAATAATAATAATTATACACCCACATTGAAAATAACCTCGAAACTTTAGGAATGTCTAAAAAGTACATATGAACTAAAATTTTTATTATATATATAAAATAAAATTAATTACGTGTATAACAACATAGGTAGCCAACAAAACAACTAACCACACACTATCTCTAATGTTTTATTCTTTTTCACAAAACCACTAAATATTTTGGTATCATCTGGACCATCTTCAGATAGCACATGTGGTTTTTATTAAAGTGTGTGCGGTTTATGATCTATTGATACTGAAATTATAAAATATAAAACAAATATATAATATGCTATGCATTAGGTCTGTAGTTAAAACATAAAATATAAGAAAACGAAATCTGCCAATGACTGTATTAATATTAAATTTAATATAAAATATACCCTTCAAGTTTTCACATAGGGCTGATAATGATGTGATTTACTCACTTACCTATTTGTTTAACGTAATTTTATTTCAAGACAAGGAACTATTGTAAAAAATCATGTTTTAAAGTGTTAAATCTTCCCTGTATTATCCTATTTGTACCGCGTACAACTTTCCTTTTGCCAGCCTTAGTACAGAAGAGATGTGCTTCGTGCAGATCTCAACGGTTAGGACTCCAACAGCAAATACTGCGCCGACAGCTAGAACATACAGAATGGGTTTTGCGACCCGAATGCTTATTGACGGCTTTGGAGGATCAACTCTGTGCCGCATCTTGGATGAGACATACCAGTTCCACATATTCAAAACGCCATTGCGACGCAGCTGTTGTAACCTGAAATAAGTTAAAATCTCAAAAATATTTCGATATTACATTACCTTAGTAAGCATTCACAAGTTTGCGTTTTTAATGATAAAGTGTGGTGTTTTATATGGGAGGATAATATTAAATTTATCTTCGAGAATAGGATGTGAGGTAATGGACTATAGATTAAACTTGATTAGGATAAGGCACAGAGACAGATTTCTGCGATCACAGTAATGAAAGTTCGGGCTCCATTTTGAGAGAACGTAATGTCCAATTGAGCGACTACCAGATTTTCACCGAAACCTGTATTAGAGTGAATAAGTTTATATTGGCCTTGTTTAAGGGACAAAGTTTATTTCAAAATTCGCTTCGTACCTCTAAGAAAACATTAAAATTACAAAATTCAAGTGAATCATTATAAATTGTTCAATACACGCCCTCATTATAAGAATTTTATAGACAAAAGTCAGTAGGTTAATGAATCTAGATAATTTAATGACGCTGTGTCAGTTACAGCAGTTGCTTAATGGCAAATATAAAGAGGAAGAAAATGGGGGGAAACTGAAAGAAATTAAGTAGTAGTTGTAATCTGTTTCAAGGTACTATTCCGGTGGTGATGCCTCGATCAGGATGCTGTGTGTCCTGGGCGAGATTCGATACGGTTGCATTCCTTATATGAAACACAACGTTGTCGATCTCAGATATGAAGACCACCATTTCTCGGCTGTGCAAGACTGCTTATTCAATATGTTTTAAAGGACGTACCTGTGATTGAAGAGGCCTCGGAAGTGACTCCCTTTTGCTAACGCGAAAGCGACAGACGCAGGAAAGGAAGCTTCTGGTATTCGAACGATAGTACAATTAATTTTGTCGACATACGTCATCATATCGTCAGTACAAATTATGAAGGCAACTTTTGTATGATGACAAACCCGCTGGAGTCCCTCTAAAGCAGTGTCTGGGTGAGACACTTCGAGACGTAACAGAAATTTGCTATAGATCTCTCTCAAGACGTCATCACTGGAGCTCTGAAAACAAAACGAGAGAAAATTATGTTCTCTGCTTTATATTAAGATTACATTGATTCAGAAGCCAAATATTTATAAATAACCCTTAAAAAACAGACAAGACTATATTGTACTTGGCCTTACTTACTTTGAAGTAATCCCATTCAACGCTTCTTTTCATTGCAAGTAATTCGAACGACCCGTCTTTCAAAAACCCTTTGAAGTCGGTGAACGGGAGCTGGCTGTGTCTCAGGGTCAGGTAGGACACGAATCCTGCAGAGTAACAGGCGAACAAAACTACCGCTGTCAGGTAGGACGTTACAAATGTTAGGAGCACAGGCGTGGACTTGGTAGATATGTTGTGACCTGCGTCCAAACAAATGGACCATATCTCGTATGGTAAACAATTTCCGTGACAAAACAAAAGTGCAAGACAGAAATAGTCCTGAGTCATCTTCCGAGCATACACAAATGATAATTCAGTCCCTTTACCTTGCTGGCAAAACACTCCGACGACTAGAAACATCGCAGTAACAAAACTGAAATCCTCGGTGTTTCCTTCGTCATTCCGACGTTCAAGCACTTGTATTTCTGTTAGGCAAATAGCCGATACAACCATAATGCAAGCAACAGCAATCCACAGACGCAAAGAGAAAGGTGTTGCGAACACAATCCACTTCTTGATGAATACATCATTCGCCTTAATGACAATATAAAACCTGAAAACGTTTTAACAAAATAATTAAATAGCGTATACATTGGAACATAATATTAAAGTAGATAGTCTGTACGCATTGATTGTGAACGTACTTGATTAGAGTTTACTTTCCAATCCTGTTGCTACAACGAGTACATAAGCCATCATACCTAGACTCTCCTATTGGGACAGTGAAGTCTACGGTTGCTAATCTGACCGCACTCATCCGCGTGGCTGCGTTAGAAACGTCCACTTGTCCTGTCTGTAACATTCCGTTTATGCCTGCGCACGAGGCATTGCTGGTGCTTGAATTACACGTATTAGCTTCAGGTTCGTAGTATTGTGTGCTGTATAAATGACCAGAGACGACAAATCAGTTATTACAAAAGTGCATTCAATGTAGTAACTTTATATTTTCTGTCTAATTTATGTATTTTATGTGAAATCTGATATTTTCATGGCAGTGAGGATTATGATGATGATGATGATGATGTTCTGGCTTTCGGCACTGTGTATTTTCGTTAGTAGAAGACAACGTTTCGGAGAAAAACGGTCTCAATCATCAGGGTAGAATCATATCACCAAGGCAACTATTTCCAGCCGTCTGAGTAATTAAATCAGCCCTGAAGATGTAGACCGTTCTTTTTCCGAAACGTAAGCAAATCTAGAAAAACAATTTCTTATGCTATTAGACTTAAACATTTTTACAATTTAGCTGCTTAATGAGTTTCAATTAGGATAAACCTCAGTAGATATTTGCAGCTTTAAACTTATCAAACAAATATACAATTCAATATGCCCTGTGTTTTGTAATAGCATTTCTTATACATCTCGGTAGATTGGTGATACTGCCATGGTTCCATCGATTGTTTATTTTATTTAATCACAACAAAACTGGAACAGTAATTGTTTGAAACATATGTCTGTACATAATTTGATGTATTTACGTATGCCTTTGTGAACTGTTTGGAAAATTCTTGAAGTTCAATTTATTCTTCCTTTGTAAATTTAATTCCATGTACATGAGTTAATTAAAGGTTAGGAACCTCTGTACTAGAGTCAAATTCACGCAAAACAATCACCCATAATAATTCTTGAGTACTCTGTAACTTAAAACCACCTTACGTGAAATTCATTTCGTTTTCCAGTTGTCTCCAGATACGACTGACGACACCGGAAAATGTTTTAGTTTCTACACGGTTGAGAGATTCTGAATTATTTCCTTCCTGAAAATAGAGTAGCCGAAGTGAGATTTCAGATTCTCAAGACGGCGCCAAAGGCTTCGGTCGTATTTAAAACAGACAATGCTCATAATTAGGATATCAGCCTTATGGGTTGCAGCGCCGTGTAGTCTGATAGAAGTTTACCGACGTTTCAAAGGTCCTCGCTGCCTCCATCATCAGGGCCATCTTCGAATGTTCACAATTAATATGCAGGATGTAAATAAACACATATTTTAAAGTAGATTTAGTTATATGAGAAATGCGTATGAAATTCTGGTTTAAGTCCTGAAAGGAAGATACTGCTTTGAAGAAGTAGTTATTGATTGAAGCATAATATTAAAATGGATCTTATGCAAATAAGGAATTAGTGTATGAACTGCATACGTATAGCTCCGGACAAGACTGATAGTGGCTTTGAACATTCAAATTCTACAAGGGGCAGGAATTTATTGACTAGCTTAGCCTACTAATTGCGTATTAAGAAGGACCGTGCTTCAATGGAATTTATTAATTAGACAGATTCTTTTAGAATTATTTCCAATTTCTGTCCCTTTCTTATACATTATATTTACTTTATACGTACGAGTTTTAATCCTGTCTTCAGTGTGAGTCCTTGTAGGTTGTTCCTCCTGTGGTAGAAGCCTCTGGAGGGCCAGGTGAGGCCGCCATCAGGAGTCCAGTTGCCGAAACGGTATGTCTGCAGGGGAAGTGTGGGGCTAACACGGTACACTTCGGTCAGACCAACGGCGTGGTCATAAGGAAACATTCCATAATGTGCAAACAAATGGAGATGACTTTGGTTCGCAAAATTTGAGTTTGTGACGTGAATTCAGGCAGAAAATTCCACATACAGGCAGAGTATTATGTAGCAATGATATAACAAATTTTGTGTTTATTCCTGTCTGTGTCTATCGGCAAAAAATTCTCCAGTATTTGAATGCGTTTCTCTGTGGTTTGTCTTCATATTTAATAGTTGTATACTCCACTATCGAAAGCTCTGCTTTCGTTGTCTTCATTTTATAACAAGTCGTACTGATCATTTATTTGTTAAAATGTCTTATCAATCCTACATTGGGGTCTGATTTTGTCACCGTGGAGCCGAATAGTTATCCCTTTATGCATTAATTTTTGCCAAGTAATGAAACAACAACGGATATACAATTCTTTAACATTATAAAACCGGAAACGAAGTGCATAGACGGAGAAACGATTAATAATAAATACAAATGTCCTGCGTAAAATTAAGACACATAAAAATTCTCGTGTGTATAAACTTTAAATTGTTGTGTACTACAAGATTATTATAAGAAATTCAAATCAAGCGACAAAGTACCAAACATAAATATCAACCAGGGCTGTTTCTATGTGTTTAATATATACTAAAAAAAATTTAGCATACAGTTACCACCCCAATTTTTGTAGACTTCAAAACGTTCCTTGACAAAGTGTAGGAAAGAACGCTTCGTGACATGAAAAATAAATCACAATGTAATCAAGTTTTTGTATTTTCTTGAAACGTGGCAATAAGTCCCTTTTCTTCACATTAAACTTTTCCTGAGTTGTGAAACCTGGTGCGACGCACTCGAGTTACGAAACTCTGATGCGTCTCTTTTCAGCGCAAGTGCTTTTGTGTTGTACAATGACGGTAGTTCCCAATTTATTTCGTGACAGTTAAAAGCGACTTTCGTCATAAATATTAAAGATTAAAGGCTTTTCATCACAACACTTTCATCAGTAACACACCAACAGCATACGATAAACCCACGTAAAATTATAGACTGCCAATGCATTAAATGACTGACGTTCTAAACTGTAATTGTCAGTAACTTCGAAAGAGGCCTTTTACTACTTTGCTGCACTATAATCTATAACGTTTGCGAAGTTTAGAATTTAGAGTGTTAAGTATGAAGTTATTGTTACTTCAAGTAATTCTTCTAGCATTCACTATTACACGCAAATCATTAAGTTCATCCTCTTCCCGATAAAATAACTTACTAACAAACTGAATGAATGATTTAGCCACTAAGGGCTGGCGCGCACGAGCTTTTGTCCTGCCGCAGATGTAAAACTACCCCAACCGAATATTTTTATTTGAACCCAACACCGCTTAGGGACTTCCTCATAACCTTCCTGGACTTATCCAGGATTACTCCAGCACTTCCGCATAACCTCTCCAGGACTTATCCATCACTACTCTATGACTTATCCAGGATTTCTCCAGGACTTCTCTCCAGCATTTCTCCAGGACATCCCCAAGACCACCCGATGAACATTTCATATTTATATTCATATTTCCTGTTATAAGTAATCGATTTCGACCTTAAAACCTCGCTGTCAGCACTCACATTAACTGACAGTGACAGGTGTACAAAGAATCGATAACAGGAGATATAACCGAATTGGTGTAAAGAAATATCTTCACATTAATGTAAACACTAGTACAGATACTGTACTAAATGTTTCATGAACTATGTGACACACATATGTATTCCTTTAATTATAACGGGTTCCTTCATTTTGAAGCTCTGAAATATAAATGGAGGAAAAATTGCTATGTTATGCTAAATGGTCAGTTCTACCGCACATGTAACTGTCGATATATTCTAATGGAATATAATCTAGTAAAATACCTCAAGAATCCTTTTTACTTAACAAATTATAAATATCTATAGAAGAAAATTCAAAAGAAATAAAATAATTCTCATTTCCGAAATGTAATAATCTTAAAGTACATTAATCAATACTCTCTTTGGATCATAGTCAAAATCAGTCCGAAAAGCTACTGCAATACAGATAAACCAGTTTTCAAAAGAACAATAAGTATTTAACAAAACACTAAACTGCTTTAAAATGAATTAATAAACATACATTGGTAGTTTCCAATGTAAAACAAACAGCGAAATCTGTTTTAAGAACAGGAATGACCATAGCAACAAACAAGCAAGGAAAAAAGAAATTTGGGCGTGTTTAATTTTAAAACAGTCAACACAAGTTCCATTTTGAAGACGGCTATATTCTGCTTTTTGCTCCGTGTAGTGTGATAAAAGTTTGGCGACGTTTCAGAACAACCTACAGCCTTCATCACCCTGCTCATGGAATCAGCAATCTCGTCTGATATGTCAGTCAGTACAGGACAGAATTTTATACAAAATCCGTTTCAGATAAATGTTGAATATAAATACTATTAAGTGTGTGGTTGTAAATTCATTCATTCCGCTGACCCTTACATGCATAAGGCTGGGTTTACGAGAAAATGTATCCTCATCTTCTGCAAATAACTGTGTCGTTTCCTGCCTTTCTTACTTAAGAACACGCCTAGACGTTAAAGTGGAGTCAAACACAAGAAAACAATTAAAATGTAAATGCATTATTTACTAATTGGTAGTATTGCACAATAGAAATCCCTATATTCAATTCTTACACTTTATCGAAAACAGAATGAGATTAAAATGGGTTATTGTACAACTCAATCCATAATCTGATAACATCTTACAAATTATACCAGACAGAAATGTCGAAATACAGGCCAGAAGTAAATTCGTAATGAAGCAAGGTCTGAAATATGTACACATTTTGAGAAACAACATCTTGAATTCCTTATTAAAACATTTATTCCTTTTAGAACACAAATGGCCATACTGTAAATAAAACATTTTGAATTGGGAAAGTTTTTAAGATGAAAAAGAACACACACAAACTTACATTACATTATCACATAATAAAATTCGATAATATTGTGGTTAAGACGATACAGGTACAAAGTGCTTTATTCTTATACCGTGTTCATCAGTTCTTTATTAGTCCGTACTGAATGCAGCAAAAACCAATACAATGACATCAGAAGTAATTCCCAAGTTCTTCTTCGTAGTTAGAAACAGCCCGAGACGTGAAAATGAAGCTGTTGATTTTGCTAGGATTCCTGGCTTACTGTTCTTGCTTAGGTTTAGAAGAATTTGTTGATATTGTGACAGACGTTAAAAGGTTCTTCAGAACACAATGTCTGCACATCGCACGAGACGAGGCGGGTGGTAAGTGGGTGTTTCTTATATTAAAAAATGTGCCTCCCTTTTTGTATTATATAACAACCTGAATATTTTGGTTTAATAAGTAACAAATATCACCATATTATATGATCTGAACCTTTAATAGCTACTAAGTATAATGAATTCCTCTGGGGCTACCAATCGTGTAAGGTCGTTCTCGTAACGTTGTAATTTCTCCATTAAACCGAGAAGAACTCATTATGCTCACTGACATTCTTCAAGCCCCCTCTAGTACGGTATTTCAGAGGATAAAGGCCGTAACAGCGTTGAACTCTTAGCTTGCAAGTAGTTTAAACGTGTGTTGACGCTTAACTGTGCCATCTGCACATCTGAATGGAGTGGTGCTATTAGCAATTAAAATCTCACCAGTTTCAGGAGTGTGAAATGTGGTCCATATAAGTTTGCAGGTTTGCAAGACCAGAAAGTGCTTATAGTGGTTATGAAACTCTTTCAGAAAAATGGAGTGTCAGTAGCTACTTTACATACAACAATCAAACATCACAAGACTACACAATACCCACGATATAACTCACGACTTTTTTATATTGAACAAACATTCTAGTTTTTTATAGAACAGAAACATTTGGATTTTTGCATGTATGATTAATCAATAAATATATCTCAGGCATCAAGTTAAGAACAACTCAAAGATAAACAATATGATACATTTAATTTTTAGCATAAAGATACTTATTTTCATGCCTGTAGGCACTGAGACCTATGTACGTAGAACAAATACGATGCCTTAACATAGACAAAAACAGGGGTAAGCCTTTCCAAATTAGACTGATGATGGCGTGCTGTTGCAGTCAGGTAAATCAATAACCCGTCTACTTAGCGATTGGCCCACATCAGAGCACAAAAACTCACGAACTCTAACGCAGAAAACACTAAACAGAAAATTACGTGGTTCGATTTTATTGGAAAGACGTCTACGTAAGTTTTCAAATACGTAAGATTGATCTCAGTCCCGGAAGTGAAAGTCAGTTGCTATTGATGTATGTCCAGAGGCAGTGCAGTATCCGTGATTCAATGTCAGCCTTGAAATTCTGCTAAGAATCATTCACCTTCTTAAGTTCAAGCTTTCGTATGTCGGTACTCAGACAAATATGTTCATTGGAATAATTAGCAACATATATTTTCATCGATACATATTAAACTACTGTGTGCTTCGTACAGTGAAGACGATAGGACGTTCTCCTTCCAGTGACGTATGCAAGATGGAGACAAGTAGAACATTACACTAACGGTCTGATATACGTGTACGTGTGAATTGCCGAAATGTAGCATTGAACAACATGAATTAACTTTCGATATTACAAGTGTGCACAAAGGAGGCGTGTGATTCCTATGGTTACAGTATAATAAATTCCAGATGTACCTTATATACAGAAGTTTGTCGTGTCCAAATGTGACGTTTGTGTGTATATGTATATAATAATAATAATTATACACCCACATTGAAAATAACCTCGAAACTTTAGGAATGTCTAAAAAGTACATATGAACTAAAATTTTTATTATATATATAAAATAAAATTAATTACGTGTATAACAACATAGGTAGCCAACAAAACAACTAACCACACACTATCTCTAATGTTTTATTCTTTTTCACAAAACCACTAAATATTTTGGTATCATCTGGACCATCTTCAGATAGCACATGTGGTTTTTATTAAAGTGTGTGCGGTTTATGATCTATTGATACTGAAATTATAAAATATAAAACAAATATATAATATGCTATGCATTAGGTCTGTAGTTAAAACATAAAATATAAGAAAACGAAATCTGCCAATGACTGTATTAATATTAAATTTAATATAAAATATACCCTTCAAGTTTTCACATAGGGCTGATAATGATGTGATTTACTCACTTACCTATTTGTTTAACGTAATTTTATTTCAAGACAAGGAACTATTGTAAAAAATCATGTTTTAAAGTGTTAAATCTTCCCTGTATTATCCTATTTGTACCGCGTACAACTTTCCTTTTGCCAGCCTTAGTACAGAAGAGATGTGCTTCGTGCAGATCTCAACGGTTAGGACTCCAACAGCAAATACTGCGCCGACAGCTAGAACATACAGAATGGGTTTTGCGACCCGAATGCTTATTGACGGCTTTGGAGGATCAACTCTGTGCCGCATCTTGGATGAGACATACCAGTTCCACATATTCAAAACGCCATTGCGACGCAGCTGTTGTAACCTGAAATAAGTTAAAATCTCAAAAATATTTCGATATTACATTACCTTAGTAAGCATTCACAAGTTTGCGTTTTTAATGATAAAGTGTGGTGTTTTATATGGGAGGATAATATTAAATTTATCTTCGAGAATAGGATGTGAGGTAATGGACTATAGATTAAACTTGATTAGGATAAGGCACAGAGACAGATTTCTGCGATCACAGTAATGAAAGTTCGGGCTCCATTTTGAGAGAACGTAATGTCCAATTGAGCGACTACCAGATTTTCACCGAAACCTGTATTAGAGTGAATAAGTTTATATTGGCCTTGTTTAAGGGACAAAGTTTATTTCAAAATTCGCTTCGTACCTCTAAGAAAACATTAAAATTACAAAATTCAAGTGAATCATTATAAATTGTTCAATACACGCCCTCATTATAAGAATTTTATAGACAAAAGTCAGTAGGTTAATGAATCTAGATAATTTAATGACGCTGTGTCAGTTACAGCAGTTGCTTAATGGCAAATATAAAGAGGAAGAAAATGGGGGGAAACTGAAAGAAATTAAGTAGTAGTTGTAATCTGTTTCAAGGTACTATTCCGGTGGTGATGCCTCGATCAGGATGCTGTGTGTCCTGGGCGAGATTCGATACGGTTGCATTCCTTATATGAAACACAACGTTGTCGATCTCAGATATGAAGACCACCATTTCTCGGCTGTGCAAGACTGCTTATTCAATATGTTTTAAAGGACGTACCTGTGATTGAAGAGGCCTCGGAAGTGACTCCCTTTTGCTAACGCGAAAGCGACAGACGCAGGAAAGGAAGCTTCTGGTATTCGAACGATAGTACAATTAATTTTGTCGACATACGTCATCATATCGTCAGTACAAATTATGAAGGCAACTTTTGTATGATGACAAACCCGCTGGAGTCCCTCTAAAGCAGTGTCTGGGTGAGACACTTCGAGACGTAACAGAAATTTGCTATAGATCTCTCTCAAGACGTCATCACTGGAGCTCTGAAAACAAAACGAGAGAAAATTATGTTCTCTGCTTTATATTAAGATTACATTGATTCAGAAGCCAAATATTTATAAATAACCCTTAAAAAACAGACAAGACTATATTGTACTTGGCCTTACTTACTTTGAAGTAATCCCATTCAACGCTTCTTTTCATTGCAAGTAATTCGAACGACCCGTCTTTCAAAAACCCTTTGAAGTCGGTGAACGGGAGCTGGCTGTGTCTCAGGGTCAGGTAGGACACGAATCCTGCAGAGTAACAGGCGAACAAAACTACCGCTGTCAGGTAGGACGTTACAAATGTTAGGAGCACAGGCGTGGACTTGGTAGATATGTTGTGACCTGCGTCCAAACAAATGGACCATATCTCGTATGGTAAACAATTTCCGTGACAAAACAAAAGTGCAAGACAGAAATAGTCCTGAGTCATCTTCCGAGCATACACAAATGATAATTCAGTCCCTTTACCTTGCTGGCAAAACACTCCGACGACTAGAAACATCGCAGTAACAAAACTGAAATCCTCGGTGTTTCCTTCGTCATTCCGACGTTCAAGCACTTGTATTTCTGTTAGGCAAATAGCCGATACAACCATAATGCAAGCAACAGCAATCCACAGACGCAAAGAGAAAGGTGTTGCGAACACAATCCACTTCTTGATGAATACATCATTCGCCTTAATGACAATATAAAACCTGAAAACGTTTTAACAAAATAATTAAATAGCGTATACATTGGAACATAATATTAAAGTAGATAGTCTGTACGCATTGATTGTGAACGTACTTGATTAGAGTTTACTTTCCAATCCTGTTGCTACAACGAGTACATAAGCCATCATACCTAGACTCTCCTATTGGGACAGTGAAGTCTACGGTTGCTAATCTGACCGCACTCATCCGCGTGGCTGCGTTAGAAACGTCCACTTGTCCTGTCTGTAACATTCCGTTTATGCCTGCGCACGAGGCATTGCTGGTGCTTGAATTACACGTATTAGCTTCAGGTTCGTAGTATTGTGTGCTGTATAAATGACCAGAGACGACAAATCAGTTATTACAAAAGTGCATTCAATGTAGTAACTTTATATTTTCTGTCTAATTTATGTATTTTATGTGAAATCTGATATTTTCATGGCAGTGAGGATTATGATGATGATGATGATGATGTTCTGGCTTTCGGCACTGTGTATTTTCGTTAGTAGAAGACAACGTTTCGGAGAAAAACGGTCTCAATCATCAGGGTAGAATCATATCACCAAGGCAACTATTTCCAGCCGTCTGAGTAATTAAATCAGCCCTGAAGATGTAGACCGTTCTTTTTCCGAAACGTAAGCAAATCTAGAAAAACAATTTCTTATGCTATTAGACTTAAACATTTTTACAATTTAGCTGCTTAATGAGTTTCAATTAGGATAAACCTCAGTAGATATTTGCAGCTTTAAACTTATCAAACAAATATACAATTCAATATGCCCTGTGTTTTGTAATAGCATTTCTTATACATCTCGGTAGATTGGTGATACTGCCATGGTTCCATCGATTGTTTATTTTATTTAATCACAACAAAACTGGAACAGTAATTGTTTGAAACATATGTCTGTACATAATTTGATGTATTTACGTATGCCTTTGTGAACTGTTTGGAAAATTCTTGAAGTTCAATTTATTCTTCCTTTGTAAATTTAATTCCATGTACATGAGTTAATTAAAGGTTAGGAACCTCTGTACTAGAGTCAAATTCACGCAAAACAATCACCCATAATAATTCTTGAGTACTCTGTAACTTAAAACCACCTTACGTGAAATTCATTTCGTTTTCCAGTTGTCTCCAGATACGACTGACGACACCGGAAAATGTTTTAGTTTCTACACGGTTGAGAGATTCTGAATTATTTCCTTCCTGAAAATAGAGTAGCCGAAGTGAGATTTCAGATTCTCAAGACGGCGCCAAAGGCTTCGGTCGTATTTAAAACAGACAATGCTCATAATTAGGATATCAGCCTTATGGGTTGCAGCGCCGTGTAGTCTGATAGAAGTTTACCGACGTTTCAAAGGTCCTCGCTGCCTCCATCATCAGGGCCATCTTCGAATGTTCACAATTAATATGCAGGATGTAAATAAACACATATTTTAAAGTAGATTTAGTTATATGAGAAATGCGTATGAAATTCTGGTTTAAGTCCTGAAAGGAAGATACTGCTTTGAAGAAGTAGTTATTGATTGAAGCATAATATTAAAATGGATCTTATGCAAATAAGGAATTAGTGTATGAACTGCATACGTATAGCTCCGGACAAGACTGATAGTGGCTTTGAACATTCAAATTCTACAAGGGGCAGGAATTTATTGACTAGCTTAGCCTACTAATTGCGTATTAAGAAGGACCGTGCTTCAATGGAATTTATTAATTAGACAGATTCTTTTAGAATTATTTCCAATTTCTGTCCCTTTCTTATACATTATATTTACTTTATACGTACGAGTTTTAATCCTGTCTTCAGTGTGAGTCCTTGTAGGTTGTTCCTCCTGTGGTAGAAGCCTCTGGAGGGCCAGGTGAGGCCGCCATCAGGAGTCCAGTTGCCGAAACGGTATGTCTGCAGGGGAAGTGTGGGGCTAACACGGTACACTTCGGTCAGACCAACGGCGTGGTCATTTTCTGGCTGAGCAACCAGAAACTCGCAGTCGAAGGGGATATTAATGTCGGTGAAGAACTCCTCCAGGGAAGAGCTCTTGTCCAGGAACAGCAGCCAGAAGAAGTTAGACATAGCGTGAGACCCGCTGAACTGCTGAGACAGAGTTCAGAATGCTACTTTAGCTCATCCTATAGGAACTAAAACGATTCTGTGCATACTGGATTTTGTGTAATAAAAATATCTTGCGCAAATAAAAACAGAAAGCTTAACATTACATAGTGCATTCGTATAATTACATCACTTTATGTTGTTGCCCAGTACGTAAATTAAACTATTTTGATTTGCTAGTGAAATATCAGAGCCACAAAATTATCGAAAGCTAAAGTTTAATGGCGGCATTATCCACTCTGCTGTTCAAGTTATAATTGTATTTTCCTCTGGTCTGTTTTTACGAAAGGGTTTAATCTCATCCTCGGATTTGAATTAGTATTTATTTTTTATGAACACAAACTTTTGATACTCAACACATAGTCAAATTCTTTCACATTCAGATACAAATTTCGTGCTTCAAAATCTTTTATATACATTTAGAATGCAAAATTTATCGTATAAAAATATTTCCCTGGGAACATTCAGTAAACCAAAGTTAAGGGTTTGCGTCAATTTTACCTTACACCGATTTTCACAACTTCCAAACTTTTATATTGTGTTAACATTTAAGTGCTACCACTTTTCATACGCTTCAGTGTGTTTGGTTACCGGACTCTTTATTTTTCTGCTGTGGGAACAAAGAGACGTAGGTTCATATCCCCATCATCCCGCTGTCACCCGAAAGGAGTCCAGAATTTCACCTGTTCGTATTTATTTGCTTCTAGCTCGTAACTGCTCGCAAGAGACCAGGGTCCTGACCCCTGAGCTCACCTCTTGCAAGCCTACAGCACGATGATGTTGCGTTATGACCATTAAGGGGCGGTTCCTCCCGCACTGGACTCCTGCTGGAAAGGGCAGAGGCAGGACCGCGGACGCCACTCGCCGAGACGCAAGCAGTTTCTGTTCATATACGACACGATCTGTGCTGAATTTCCCTAATTATTCGAAAATAAAACTGTAGTATAGACCATTTTTACCCAACAGTTTCTTACGCTAATGCAAACATTTCATACAAGAAAATTATGATGATTTATACTTCAAATGTAGAACATGTTACTTATAAAATATCGGACGTTTTGGCGTACATTTTACTAGTATGATTTAGGTTTCTTTTAACACGTCAATCAAAGAATTATTTGCTTCACAATCCACCCAGTCCACAGATAATGTAAAAATTGTTTCCAAATTAATAAAAGAAGTGGTATTGTTATAGCAGACAACGTTGTAGCTAAATGTGAATTTTGGATTTAAAAAATTACAAAATGAAAAAAATACGATAGAAATATATTAAAATGGATATGCAAACAGTTTCAAAACGCAAATTTTGTTTAGAAGTAAGATATTAAAATCACTGAAATCAAAAATGTGATCTACTCTAATTAACTGTATCCAGCAGAATTAAAAGTACAAAGACATGCCGTGAACATTTTAACATACTTATCTCGAGAATTTATTGGTATTGTATTTTAAACAGTTTCCTTTCCTTGCCTTGTGATTCCTGTTCCAAAGATTTTACAAGAAACACACATCCACACCGGAAGTAAGTGTTCACAGATGTAACAGTGTCAATTATCCGTGTTAATGGAAATATAAATTTATCTTGACAGTCAATAAACAAGAACATTGAAATACAGCAAAAAACGAATGACGGACTGATCATGTTAGTAAGCAAAGACATTTCTAACAAAGAATATCTGAATTAAATTATGTTAGACTGCAAGACGAATTCTTTTACACAGGTATATTCACAATAATTGCATTATAACACAATGTACTCCTTCAGAGATTGAGACAACGTCCTCTTTTTCCTTTCTTATAAGTAATGTAGAGGTGCAACCACAATTAAAGGCTTGAAATAAGCTATAAACATCAGGCATAAGCCTGGAAAATGTTAAGTGTATTATCTCTTGTATCACGTGCACAGGAGAAATACAAAGCTAATAATTAAATTGAATTAATTAATTAAAGTGTCTTGTAACAACAAGAAAGCCATAGAATTTTGTGCGACATGTATATCATCGTAATGAACATAAGATTATAAAGAATTATCGTAATATCACTGAATATTTTATAATGATATAAAAAATGTATAATTCTCAAATTTCCCATTTATGTGAGTACAATTGAATTGAGGTGCACTTAAAATTTATAAATTTTATTAATAAACAAATATTTAAGCACCTACTTTATTTCACAATGTTTTTGAAAGCACTTTGTATGAATTTCTCTTCATCATTTCTTCATTATATTACGTGTATTAATTACTTGAGAATGTTTAACGTGTGATGTTTTTTTAACTTTAATTTGTCTCACAACCGCAGTTTCAGTTACGTCAAGATGTCAGTTATTGTTCAAGAGGTATTAGTCATTAATAAGCCCTCCTTATTTGCTGTTCCTAGTAACTCCGTATAATGGTCTGTGAGTCAGCGTGGTTTTGAACGCTGGATTATATATACAAAACAAGTGTCACATGTGGTCTGATACAGTGACGGAGAAGATACACAAATCTTTGTCAGAAAAAAAGCTTCTGAGGTTCTGACAGATGCCTGACATCAACACGTGTACACCACAGAGAATGGAGTGTTTCTTATGCTTAAAAACTGAAGTTGTAAATTACATCTATTTTTTTACACTCAATAAATGTCAACAGAATGCATGCTTATGCAAGTGTACCTGAATATCGCTCTTTGGAAGTCGCATATTCAAGTCTGAATAACTTGGCAAATATTTTTCATAGTTTTGTACAGTCCCTCCAGGCACACTGCCTTAAAGCATGCAGTTTCCTCCTAAATTGTTATTCATCAATCATTCATCATACAATTAGGTGCTTTTTAATCTACGCACTTCAAGGTTAAATATGTTTGATATCAGGATAGAAGTTAAGAAAACAGATTGACGTAGCATGGATTTAACAGAACAGAATTTTCAAAAAACCCAAAGCTGATGTATTATCTTTATGAAGTCATTCACTCTTACAGATTAAACCGCTCCAATGCGGCGGTAGAATTCTGCAAGGGTACAGCTTACTGTAAAATCGATATTCATTCATTGTCAGTCGATACGAAAATGTAATTTTAGATGATTAGGTTGCTTGCTTTTAACTGTAAGCACGATGTTTTGTGATGTGCGTATATGCTTAAGAAAACATGATTATTGGTGAATGTATGTACTGGACAAAATATTATTACCACGAGTGATGGGGAAATGAAAATGTATTCTGTAATTTTGAAGATAAAATTGTATGGATAAAATTTAAATATTTTGCTAACATTAAAAGCACAATAATGTACACAAACAGTGTATTCACTTTTAATGCCACTCTTCAAATCACTTAGTTGCTTTATCCCTTACCTGTTTCATACCTACAGTAATACCCCATGATGCTTCTCCTACAAATTAAGAAAAAATTAGGGTATGCAGTACATTCGACATTTGATCTCTACCAACTGCAGATGTTATCACAAATACAACAAAATGATACAACTAATACACATGGTTCCAAATATTCCATTTGTAGTCTGTATGTGACAAAACTGCAAATACAATGGTAATTGTTAATCAAAAATGCAGCAAACGTTTGAGTTGGCGTGTGAAATTATTACCCTGGACGAGTGTGTCCACTTCGCGTGCGTCAAGTGATCAGTAGTTAATGATCACAATTTCACTTCTGCTGTGTTGTATTTCTGATGGTTATAAAAGTCATAAATGTATGATAGATCTCAACAGTTCTCGCAAGCCAATCAATGAAAACCGAACCTAAAATTCTTTACACGCATAACGAATTACAAACTCTCACTACTCATGTTGAAGGATTACACTTTCTTATAAATCTGACTCCTGTGGCCATGTGGATTGACAGCCTTCGGATGTATGAAGGTCGGTGTTTTGAGTATAAATCCTAATCGAACGTGGGCGATTGCCCTATGGAGCTGATGCTCATGCATAACTTCAACCACAGTGACACTTCCTAACTCCTTGCTTCTTAATTTAACAAAGATTTAAAAGAGGACGTGTTATATAGCACGCAGTGAATGGATGGCTGTGGAAGACATTAGGAAGAAAGCGGTTGTAGCCTATTTTAAGACGCTACCCCATAATTTGGATGGAGAGACTGAAGAAAACATGAAGGACAGTCAGATACCGTGCTGAGAAACGAACCCACAGTTTCCCGAATAGCGAACTAATAAAGCAAAGACCTTGAGATGCTCATAGTAAGCTGTTCGAAAGACCTTGAGATGCTCATAGTAAGCTTGCGCTGGTATAGTAAAGAAGTACCATTGCTTTTATGGAATCCGATGGATTATTTCCGTGTTATATACCGTTATTGGTCCCTATCCTTAGCAGATGATTTAAACCAGCGCTCTCCAGTCCTGTTTTATAAATATCTAACCCAAACGTTCAACAAACTTGGATTTCCTATACAAATGCAAAAAAAAAAAAAAGTGTTTAACTTTGTTTAAAAATTACGGATATCTTTTAGTAAATGTTATGCAACCACGTCAAATTATAATTGAAATTAAAGATGCAGAACAGGTTATATGTTGTAAAGATATACCTAAAATATTTAGGTGCCGGTGTGTTTACAAACCTACCACACCGTTCCAAAATTAACTTCTAAAAGCAAAATAGTCAATATAAAAAAAACTGAGCCCGAAATTGGGCACAATTGAGGAACTTTAGATTTGTTACTCATTTTATACCAGATGATTCTTTAAAAGTAGTAAAACATTGTCGCTCACTTTTATATTTGTCTTATTTACATGGATGGAGAGAAGTTTGCCTATTTGCAACATCAGCACATTTACTGCCACAGTATGTCGCGAAGAAAGAAAGCACATATTTGATTGCAATAATTCAGCAAAAACCGATAGGAAAACAAAGCCATAGGTTCTAATCATTACGCGGTGTATACAGATTACGAAACGATAAGAAAGTCGTTCTAGACACTAAACATGAATATAGCTTAACATTGGCAATTAAATGACCAATTCATGCACGTGACATTGAACATTTTCAGATCTGCATCGTGTGGAACTCCTCCCTCTGTCCACACTAATTATATTCCTCACGAAATATCTACATCCACAGGAAAGTAGTCTGTTTCTGTTCGAATTTCATGACAGACGAGTCTGTCGCCACTAGCAGAACGCATTCCGTGCTTCAGATGTTTCAAATGCAGACGTCTATCTGTATCATGTTGTTACTGTCGAGTGGGGCTATCAGCGCCGGTCTAGAAAAAGTACTACCATTAACAGAACTCATAGCTGATATTTATCATCAGTTTGAACGCGGTTGCATATTTCTGATGACCTCTCGCGTTCAACAACAAGGTGAGATTGAATTTAACATTTTCTGTAAAGAGTGAATTTTCGCTAACGACATTCCTAAAAGTGGGTACAATTTTTTGGTGGTGGGGGGTAGATTCTTAGAAATTATCACTCTAAATGCAGAAATATGCGTTTCAAAATGTACAGGAAGCATACAAGTTTTGAGAAAATGAACCGGATTAAATTCCACAAATATATAATAAGATAGATTTATTTGTTCGCGATTCTTACTTAATCACTGGATTTTGTAACAGAATTTTTTTATTATCACGTTGGGATAAAACTGTGTCCTTGCGGAACTGCGGCTGGCAACGGGCCCGTTGTTCGTTTCCCAGACAACTCGTTAGTGAATGTGGAGCATCGGTGAAATATTACCGACAGCGAAAAGCCGTAGGACTCGTAGAGAAACCTGTCCTAGTAGCACTTCGTCCGCTACAAATCCTGCATAAAATGTCCTGCGAGTTAACTCGGTCCTCCGCAGTGAAAAGCCGGCGACTAACTTAGTTGTTTGTTTGTTTGGTTATTTAGTTAGCTGAGTCGATAGATAAACAATGAGTAACTCAGTAAATAGCAAATATTTTACTTATTTGGGAATGGACAAATTAATAACACATTATATGCATTTTAGGTTTTGAAGCTAAGATATTGATGCAGAAAATTCGAAAGCACTTATTATACGAATATATTCCTATAATGGATACGGTATTTAGAACTGGCGTCAGCAGAAGGTGTTCTACTCAGCGGTCTATATACGTCGTACTCAAAGGCGATGCAGAAACAAGAAACTACATACATCAGGTTAGAAACAGTCCTTTCTGGTAACTTATTCACATTAAATAACACTGTGGGCCAAACAAAATATCTGTCTCGCCTAATACGAGGTATAACTGCATGCATTATTTAGTATAAAACATTTCGAGGATATATAAGTAATCTAAAAGCTGATTGAAAAGAGAGGAATCAGGGCTGATAAAGATAATAAAATCAAAATCAGTTAAAATGTATATGAATTCTCACGTCAAACACTATGTTGACTTTCGAGCTTGTCCTATAATTTATCTGATACACCAGAAACCAATGATAAACTAGAGTAACAAATTTCTTCTGGTAATTAGTTATAAAATTATAATACTGTTCTGAGTAACGTGTATTTTCCGAAAATTATTTTCTAATCTTAATTTACCACAATATTAGGGTCATGTAAAAGCTGATGAACACAGGCCTATAACAATTTTCCACAGTCATTTTTGAAGACACACTCATCCAGAGCCATCTGGTTGCTGTTCCTGGACAAGAACTCTTCCCTGGAGGAGTTCTTCACCGACATTAACATCCCCTTCGACTGCGAGTTCCTGGTGGCTCAGCCAGAAGATGACCACGCCGTTGGTCTGACCGAAGTGTACCGTGTTAGCCCCACACTTCCCCTGCAGACATACCGTTTCGGCAACTGGACTCCTGCTCGCAGCCCAACCTGGCCTTCAACGAACTTTCTTCTTAGAAGAAGCAATCTACAAGGATGTGTCATTCGGGCAACTTATAAACACGTAAGCTGAAACCTCTTCAATATATGACAAGGGTATATTTGACCCTGTGTCTAGGAATTGAGCCATAAAGTCCTATTTAAGGTGAACAAATAAAGATTTTGTCTCTTCAATGTACGATGAACTGAACAAATATGTAGCTAATATTGTAATATTTTGCTGGAATAATTCTGATTCATTCGCACATTAAGAAGACGAACGATAAGATGATGACAATTTTGGTCCGAACACGTCATGGTAAGAGACCAGTTGGAAGACCAAATTGTGATGGACGAATAGGCATAAGTTATTTTAATTATCATGAAGAACATGATGTGAAGGTATTGACTTGGTACAAGACCTAGAAATGGCGTTAAATCTAATGCCTACATAAAAGTAGGGAATTTGAAAATTTGAGCAGCTATCAGGTGTTCAGGAAGACATTTTATGATGGAGTGAGCGAGAGACTGGACGTACCAGTCTTTTGGACAGTACTGAAGAATGTTTTAATCTGTTCAGGAATACTTGGTCGTCAACATAGTTAATAATTCAGACGGATCTGAGGTTGCTGAAGGATATTTTGGGCAGATGTGGTTGCCCAGTACGTAAATTAAACTATTTTGATTTGCTAGTGAAATATCAGAGCCACAAAATTATCGAAAGCTAAAGTTTAATGGCGGCATTATCCACTCTGCTGTTCAAGTTATAATTGTATTTTCCTCTGGTCTGTTTTTACGAAAGGGTTTAATCTCATCCTCGGATTTGAATTAGTATTTATTTTTTATGAACACAAACTTTTGATACTCAACACATAGTCAAATTCTTTCACATTCAGATACAAATTTCGTGCTTCAAAATCTTTTATATACATTTAGAATGCAAAATTTATCGTATAAAAATATTTCCCTGGGAACATTCAGTAAACCAAAGTTAAGGGTTTGCGTCAATTTTACCTTACACCGATTTTCACAACTTCCAAACTTTTATATTGTGTTAACATTTAAGTGCTACCACTTTTCATACGCTTCAGTGTGTTTGGTTACCGGACTCTTTATTTTTCTGCTGTGGGAACAAAGAGACGTAGGTTCATATCCCCATCATCCCGCTGTCACCCGAAAGGAGTCCAGAATTTCACCTGTTCGTATTTATTTGCTTCTAGCTCGTAACTGCTCGCAAGAGACCAGGGTCCTGACCCCTGAGCTCACCTCTTGCAAGCCTACAGCACGATGATGTTGCGTTATGACCATTAAGGGGCGGTTCCTCCCGCACTGGACTCCTGCTGGAAAGGGCAGAGGCAGGACCGCGGACGCCACTCGCCGAGACGCAAGCAGTTTCTGTTCATATACGACACGATCTGTGCTGAATTTCCCTAATTATTCGAAAATAAAACTGTAGTATAGACCATTTTTACCCAACAGTTTCTTACGCTAATGCAAACATTTCATACAAGAAAATTATGATGATTTATACTTCAAATGTAGAACATGTTACTTATAAAATATCGGACGTTTTGGCGTACATTTTACTAGTATGATTTAGGTTTCTTTTAACACGTCAATCAAAGAATTATTTGCTTCACAATCCACCCAGTCCACAGATAATGTAAAAATTGTTTCCAAATTAATAAAAGAAGTGGTATTGTTATAGCAGACAACGTTGTAGCTAAATGTGAATTTTGGATTTAAAAAATTACAAAATGAAAAAAATACGATAGAAATATATTAAAATGGATATGCAAACAGTTTCAAAACGCAAATTTTGTTTAGAAGTAAGATATTAAAATCACTGAAATCAAAAATGTGATCTACTCTAATTAACTGTATCCAGCAGAATTAAAAGTACAAAGACATGCCGTGAACATTTTAACATACTTATCTCGAGAATTTATTGGTATTGTATTTTAAACAGTTTCCTTTCCTTGCCTTGTGATTCCTGTTCCAAAGATTTTACAAGAAACACACATCCACACCGGAAGTAAGTGTTCACAGATGTAACAGTGTCAATTATCCGTGTTAATGGAAATATAAATTTATCTTGACAGTCAATAAACAAGAACATTGAAATACAGCAAAAAACGAATGACGGACTGATCATGTTAGTAAGCAAAGACATTTCTAACAAAGAATATCTGAATTAAATTATGTTAGACTGCAAGACGAATTCTTTTACACAGGTATATTCACAATAATTGCATTATAACACAATGTACTCCTTCAGAGATTGAGACAACGTCCTCTTTTTCCTTTCTTATAAGTAATGTAGAGGTGCAACCACAATTAAAGGCTTGAAATAAGCTATAAACATCAGGCATAAGCCTGGAAAATGTTAAGTGTATTATCTCTTGTATCACGTGCACAGGAGAAATACAAAGCTAATAATTAAATTGAATTAATTAATTAAAGTGTCTTGTAACAACAAGAAAGCCATAGAATTTTGTGCGACATGTATATCATCGTAATGAACATAAGATTATAAAGAATTATCGTAATATCACTGAATATTTTATAATGATATAAAAAATGTATAATTCTCAAATTTCCCATTTATGTGAGTACAATTGAATTGAGGTGCACTTAAAATTTATAAATTTTATTAATAAACAAATATTTAAGCACCTACTTTATTTCACAATGTTTTTGAAAGCACTTTGTATGAATTTCTCTTCATCATTTCTTCATTATATTACGTGTATTAATTACTTGAGAATGTTTAACGTGTGATGTTTTTTTAACTTTAATTTGTCTCACAACCGCAGTTTCAGTTACGTCAAGATGTCAGTTATTGTTCAAGAGGTATTAGTCATTAATAAGCCCTCCTTATTTGCTGTTCCTAGTAACTCCGTATAATGGTCTGTGAGTCAGCGTGGTTTTGAACGCTGGATTATATATACAAAACAAGTGTCACATGTGGTCTGATACAGTGACGGAGAAGATACACAAATCTTTGTCAGAAAAAAAGCTTCTGAGGTTCTGACAGATGCCTGACATCAACACGTGTACACCACAGAGAATGGAGTGTTTCTTATGCTTAAAAACTGAAGTTGTAAATTACATCTATTTTTTTACACTCAATAAATGTCAACAGAATGCATGCTTATGCAAGTGTACCTGAATATCGCTCTTTGGAAGTCGCATATTCAAGTCTGAATAACTTGGCAAATATTTTTCATAGTTTTGTACAGTCCCTCCAGGCACACTGCCTTAAAGCATGCAGTTTCCTCCTAAATTGTTATTCATCAATCATTCATCATACAATTAGGTGCTTTTTAATCTACGCACTTCAAGGTTAAATATGTTTGATATCAGGATAGAAGTTAAGAAAACAGATTGACGTAGCATGGATTTAACAGAACAGAATTTTCAAAAAACCCAAAGCTGATGTATTATCTTTATGAAGTCATTCACTCTTACAGATTAAACCGCTCCAATGCGGCGGTAGAATTCTGCAAGGGTACAGCTTACTGTAAAATCGATATTCATTCATTGTCAGTCGATACGAAAATGTAATTTTAGATGATTAGGTTGCTTGCTTTTAACTGTAAGCACGATGTTTTGTGATGTGCGTATATGCTTAAGAAAACATGATTATTGGTGAATGTATGTACTGGACAAAATATTATTACCACGAGTGATGGGGAAATGAAAATGTATTCTGTAATTTTGAAGATAAAATTGTATGGATAAAATTTAAATATTTTGCTAACATTAAAAGCACAATAATGTACACAAACAGTGTATTCACTTTTAATGCCACTCTTCAAATCACTTAGTTGCTTTATCCCTTACCTGTTTCATACCTACAGTAATACCCCATGATGCTTCTCCTACAAATTAAGAAAAAATTAGGGTATGCAGTACATTCGACATTTGATCTCTACCAACTGCAGATGTTATCACAAATACAACAAAATGATACAACTAATACACATGGTTCCAAATATTCCATTTGTAGTCTGTATGTGACAAAACTGCAAATACAATGGTAATTGTTAATCAAAAATGCAGCAAACGTTTGAGTTGGCGTGTGAAATTATTACCCTGGACGAGTGTGTCCACTTCGCGTGCGTCAAGTGATCAGTAGTTAATGATCACAATTTCACTTCTGCTGTGTTGTATTTCTGATGGTTATAAAAGTCATAAATGTATGATAGATCTCAACAGTTCTCGCAAGCCAATCAATGAAAACCGAACCTAAAATTCTTTACACGCATAACGAATTACAAACTCTCACTACTCATGTTGAAGGATTACACTTTCTTATAAATCTGACTCCTGTGGCCATGTGGATTGACAGCCTTCGGATGTATGAAGGTCGGTGTTTTGAGTATAAATCCTAATCGAACGTGGGCGATTGCCCTATGGAGCTGATGCTCATGCATAACTTCAACCACAGTGACACTTCCTAACTCCTTGCTTCTTAATTTAACAAAGATTTAAAAGAGGACGTGTTATATAGCACGCAGTGAATGGATGGCTGTGGAAGACATTAGGAAGAAAGCGGTTGTAGCCTATTTTAAGACGCTACCCCATAATTTGGATGGAGAGACTGAAGAAAACATGAAGGACAGTCAGATACCGTGCTGAGAAACGAACCCACAGTTTCCCGAATAGCGAACTAATAAAGCAAAGACCTTGAGATGCTCATAGTAAGCTTGCGCTGGTATAGTAAAGAAGTACCATTGCTTTTATGGAATCCGATGGATTATTTCCGTGTTATATACCGTTATTGGTCCCTATCCTTAGCAGATGATTTAAACCAGCGCTCTCCAGTCCTGTTTTATAAATATCTAACCCAAACGTTCAACAAACTTGGATTTCCTATACAAATGCAAAAAAAAAAAAAAGTGTTTAACTTTGTTTAAAAATTACGGATATCTTTTAGTAAATGTTATGCAACCACGTAAAATTATAATTGAAATTAAAGATGCAGAACAGGTTATATGTTGTAAAGATATACCTAAAATATTTAGGTACCGGTGTGTTTACAAACCTACCACACCGTTCCAAAATTAACTTCTAAAAGCAAAATAGTCAATATAAAAAAAACTGAGCCCGAAATTGGGCACAATTGAGGAACTTTAGATTTGTTACTCATTTTATACCAGATGATTCTTTAAAAGTAGTAAAACATTGTCGCTCACTTTTATATTTGTCTTATTTACATGGATGGAGAGAAGTTTGCCTATTTGCAACATCAGCACATTTACTGCCACAGTATGTCGCGAAGAAAGAAAGCACATATTTGATTGCAATAATTCAGCAAAAACCGATAGGAAAACAAAGCCATAGGTTCTAATCATTACGCGGTGTATACAGATTACGAAACGATAAGAAAGTCGTTCTAGACACTAAACATGAATATAGCTTAACATTGGCAATTAAATGACCAATTCATGCACGTGACATTGAACATTTTCAGATCTGCATCGTGTGGAACTCCTCCCTTTGTCCACACTAATTATATTCCTCACGAAATATCTACATCCACAGGAAAGTAGTCTGTTTCTGTTCGAATTTCATGACAGACGAGTCTGTCGCCACTAGCAGAATGCATTCCGTGCTTCAGATGTTTCAAATGCGGACGTTTATCTGGATCATGTTGTTACTGTCGAGTGGGGCTATCAGCGCCGGTCTAGAAAAAGTACTACCATTAACAGAACTCATAGCTGATATTTATCATCAGTTTGAACGCGGTTGCATATTTCTGATGACCTCTCGCGTTCAACAACAAGGTGAGATTGAATTTAACATTTTATGTGAAAAGTGAATTTTCGCTAACGACAGTCATAAAAGTGGGTAGTATTTTTTGGTGGTGGGGGTAGATTCTTAGAAATTATCACTCTAAATGCAGAAATATGCGTTTCAAAAAGTACAAGAAGCATACAAGTTTTGAGAAAATAAACCAGATTAAATTCCACAAATATATAATAAGATAGATTTATTTGTTCGCGATTCTTACTTAATCACTGGATTTTGTAACAGAACTTTTTATTATCACGTTCGGATAAAACTGTGTCCTTGCGGAACTGCGGCTGGCAACGGGCCCGTTGTTCGTTTCCCAGACAACTCGTTAGTGAATGTGGAGCATCGGTGAAATATTACCGACAGCGAAAAGCCGTAGGACTCGTAGAGAAACCTGTCCTAGTAGCACTTCGTCCGCTACAAATCCTGCATAAAATGTCCTGCGAGTTAACTCGGTCCTCCGCAGTGAAAAGCCGGCGACTAACTTAGTTGTTTGTTTGTTTGGTTATTTAGTTAGCTGAGTCGATAGATAAACAATGAGTAACTCAGTAAATAGCAAATATTTTACTTATTTGGGAATGGACAAATTAATAACACATTATATGCATTTTAGGTTTTGAAGCTAAGATATTGATGCAGAAAATTCGAAAGCACTTATTATACGAATATATTCCTATAATGGATACGGTATTTAGAACTGGCGTCAGCAGAAGGTGTTCTACTCAGCGGTCTATATACGTCGTACTCAAAGGCGATGCAGAAACAAGAAACTACATACATCAGGTTAGAAACAGTCCTTTCTGGTAACTTATTCACATTAAATAACACTGTGGGCCAAACAAAATATCTGTCTCGCCTAATACGAGGTATAACTGCATGCATTATTTAGTATAAAACATTTCGAGGATATATAAGTAATCTAAAAGCTGATTGAAAAGAGAGGAATCAGGGCTGATAAAGATAATAAAATCAAAATCAGTTAAAATGTATATGAATTCTCACGTCAAACACTATGTTGACTTTCGAGCTTGTCCTATAATTTATCTGATACACCAGAAACCAATGATAAACTAGAGTAACAAATTTCTTCTGGTAATTAGTTATAAAATTATAATACTGTTCTGAGTAACGTGTATTTTCCGAAAATTATTTTCTAATCTTAATTTACCACAATATTAGGGTCATGTAAAAGCTGATGAACACAGGCCTATAACAATTTTCCACAGTCATTTTTGAAGACACACTCATCCAGAGCCATCTGGTTGCTGTTCCTGGACAAGAACTCTTCCCTGGAGGAGTTCTTCACCGACATTAACATCCCCTTCGACTGCGAGTTCCTGGTGGCTCAGCCAGAAGATGACCACGCCGTTGGTCTGACCGAAGTGTACCGTGTTAGCCCCACACTTCCCCTGCAGACATACCGTTTCGGCAACTGGACTCCTGCTCGCAGCCCAACCTGGCCTTCAACGAACTTTCTTCTTAGAAGAAGCAATCTACAAGGATGTGTCATTCGGGCAACTTATAAACACGTAAGCTGAAACCTCTTCAATATATGACAAGGGTATATTTGACCCTGTGTCTAGGAATTGAGCCATAAAGTCCTATTTAAGGTGAACAAATAAAGATTTTGTCTCTTCAATGTACGATGAACTGAACAAATATGTAGCTAATATTGTAATATTTTGCTGGAATAATTCTGATTCATTCGCACATTAAGAAGACGAACGATAAGATGATGACAATTTTGGTCCGAACACGTCATGGTAAGAGACCAGTTGGAAGACCAAATTGTGATGGACGAATAGGCATAAGTTATTTTAATTATCATGAAGAACATGATGTGAAGGTATTGACTTGGTACAAGACCTAGAAATGGCGTTAAATCTAATAACTACATAAAAATAGAGAATTTGAAAATTTGAGCAGCTATCAGGTGTTCAGGAAGACATTTTATGATGGAGTGAGCGAGAGACTGGACGTACCAGTGTTTTGGACAGTACTGAAGAATGTTTTCATCTGTTCAGGAATACTTGGTCGTCAACATAGTTAATAATTCAGACGGATCTGAGGTTGCTGAAGGATATTTTGGGCAGATGTGGGCTACAATGGCGGAGGAAATAAACGCCATGTAAGTAAAAGTATTGTTTCTTTATAGTTCAACTTAAATAAATGTATAACAAAGGATCTTCATCGCATTTTGCTAGTCATAAAACATGTCTTATATCGGATAGACATTATGTGACTTGATGAGAAAACAAAGAAAAACTATACAGGATTGCTTTTATGGAACCCAGATGTTCGTACTAAAACAACCCACTGTAGATATTCTAAGCCGAGTGCAACTTCACTCTTTATGTATTTTAATATTATCTTATAATAACTATGAACCACTGAATTTTGACGTGTGAAAGCAGCATTTACATGATATGTACCTAGTCGTATTCAAGATAGTATTAAGGTATAATTCTTCGGTAAACTTGTTATCAGCACCGTGTACCATGAGACGGAATCTTACGGCTCTAAATCTGCAAACGGGTCATGGAGCGGAATGATAGCGTTGGTGAAAAATCGGGAGGCCGACATCGGTATTGGAGATTTCATAACAACTAGTGAACGATCCAATGTGGTGGACTTCATAGACACAGTCGAATTCTCAAGGTGAGGCACTGCGATATCATTTCCATTCCCAGTCTTAATTTTGACAGTTGGTATTCTCTGAACTTCATTATTCCTCAATGTTCCCGTCATCCTACTAAGTTTCCCTTCAGACTGATCACTCGACGTATGACAATGTTTACATTCCACTAGACACTTATTTTGTCATTGATTCAGTGTTTACGTAACGATGCTGTAACAAATATTATACAACATCGAATGATAGAATGGCCTCTCTGCTAGATACTAAACCCAAACTCCCCAAATATGAAGCAAGACTGGTAACCACTCTACCGTAATATTCGCTTACTATACCCTGAATAATCTCATCTCACATTGGACTTCAGTCCTAGTAGAGACGTTAATATTCGCCCGGCTAGTACAGAAATTCGCTGTTGTTATGGAACCCATAGGGAACATGAGGATGGTTTGTGTTTCAGCACCAGAGTGTTCATAAGGATACCAAACAGCGCAGACATGTCCTGGAACCTCTACCTCGCTCCTTTCAGCTACGGCCTGTGGCTGGCAGTGGCCATTGCTTGCTGCGCCCTCAGCGTCTGCTTGGCGGTCACCAACATCAGTTATGACGGACAGAAGAGGAACCCGACCCTATCTGTGGTGGCCATATTCTTTTACATCCTCGGCTGTTTGTGCCAGCAAGGTCAGTTAGTAGTTAAAATAACTACGATGGAATTTACAGTTCATAATATTTCGTTCACAACTTCTATTTTACTTTCACTTCTCATTTAACTTCATCTCTTCGGTTATAACTCTCCTGCCTTTCTTTCTTTCCCCTATTCTTCGTTTTAGCCTTTATTCATCCTCTGTCTCTGCCTGTTTGAAACAGTTTCATAAATTATTATCTTGTAACTCTCCATTTTAACCGCACTCGGAGAGGATTTCTTTTTGAGAAGTTGATAGTAGTTCAGCTGACCAAGGAATTGTAGTCCATACCAGACACGGAACTCCCGTGAAAGGAACAGAAGTAACATATACGTGCCAACTACTTTAACATTCTGAGATTCGAAATTTAACAGCAAATCTGTAATTTGCCCACAATATTTGAGGGGTTTCTTTTGCTGTTTTCAGAACAAACAGCTAACATTCTCCTACACAACATCAATAAACTAGTCTTTATAACAGAGACACGTTGTATTCCCGTTGAGGTAGTAACTTCATTTTTAATTACTTAGATGATTCTAATGCTTCAAAGATCTGACAGGTTGTAATCTTTCAGCTGCACTCATCTCCAGTCTAGCCGTGCAGTCCAGAGCCCTTCCCTTCTGGGATCTGCAGGGACTGTTGTCCGACGGTTCCTACAGGCTCGGTGTCCAGGAAAATTCCGCTGTTCTCAACATTTTTGATGTAACACGATAACAATAATAATGAAGACAGAAATTTTCCTGAAAATTTGGAATTCTGTTCCGAGTTGAAACGGCTGATTGCCCGCGAAGATATAACTTTTAGACTTTAAGTCGCCGTAAAAGTCTCAAGACATGAATAATAATAATAATAAATACTTACGTTGCATGATGAGTCTCAACCAGTTCGCAGAAGAATGTAATATTTCCATGCTATATCATTATCATAATCTTTGAAATGATTTCTTCCTATTTGGTATGAAGCTATTCACCAGCACTTCATATGATGCACCAAACTGGTTCTTGTTTGAGTCCAATGGCGAGATTCCTAGATGACGACAATCACTTTTCGAATTCCGTAAGAACGTGGAATTCTTTTAAAAGCTGAACAAATCAAATCCGACCATGCTGAGTTTCAAACAAAACAAACCGTGTCTTTCTTGCATGTTTCTATGGCTAATTTCTGCTATTATAAATCCACATATAAATTTGACTAAAGAAAGAGGACTTTTCCACTGATCTTACTGAAATATACGCGACATGTATCGTGCATAACATGGAAAGGATTAACTGTTGAAAAAATGTCTATATCTGTGAGTGTAAAGGATTTAAAACCATGTAATGACGCCAAGGTATTATTATTCTTTTGCAGGGAGCCGTGGAAGGAGTCGAAAATGAAGTTTACAAGAAACTAATTGCCCCCTTCACGAACGATATGCCTACAGACGACTCTGAAGGGTTTAAAAAAGTCTGCACTCTGCACAAGTACGCCTTCGTAGGCTCTTACTTCTTCGGTCTGCAGTACAAGGGGGCGATGTTATGTCAGATGACAACACTTCCTGGAACTTCCTACCCGGAACCTCTGACCTACATTATTTCCAAGAAGAGCCCTTACAAGTACCTCATCAATTGGAAGTGAGTTCAAAAGTAAAGTTATCAAATTACTTCCCTCCTTTGGTTCCATCTTATCTAACGTATTACTGCACGTTACTTTACATGCCCATAAATTGTAAAGAAAAATGTCCCTGTGTCTAAGCACCAAGTCATAAAAGCGTGCTGGAGTATGTTAGATTCACTGTGTAGTAAGGGGCTAATCTATCCTAACATGTGACCATAACAGTGTAGGATTTTTAATCATACAATCAAAAATATTTTAACTTCAGTCCTCATGGTCTACTACTTCATTTCCCAAGAAATATTATTTACGTGTGGACACATGTTACATTCATGATTTTGAACATAAGCATTTATGTCACAGCCGTTGATAAATATTACCTTTCTGCACAGGTTAGCTCAACTTCGCGAGAAAGGAATTCAATCTAGGATTCGCCAACACTACATAACCTCAAAGGCATCTTATGTAAATCGTTCTGCAACAACAGTGAACTTAGCTGCAGTAGCGCCAATTCTGGTTGTGTTTGTGGCCGGAAATTTGATTGCAATTTTCCTATTGGTCATAGAGCGACAGATCCATGGGAACTTATTCAAATGCTGGCCAGTTGGAAACTCCCGACGGCCAGAAAACAACGAATGTCGAAAGCGTGATAGCAATCGAATGCTTTCACTCTCACACAAAAATGTGTACCGGCCTCCACTCTATAGGAACATCCATCGCTCAATACGCAAACATAAATGTAAATAAAAATACATCAACATATATCCAGAAACGTTTAAATACTACATTATGTAATTATATGGAACATCGATCCCTGTAATACATTTTCCTCAACCACCAAAATTATTATTTGTCTGACGAACGAACGCAAGTGACGGTTTTATGACCCTCCGGTTTTCCGAAATGCAAGGAACACGGTACGACCTTTGTGGCATACAGTCCGGGGACTACGGAATGTTTAATCATTGCAATTCACACAAAGCTATAAGTGACAACGGTGAAAAACAACTCGCCAGAGAAAGAACATAATAGTGGGTGAGAGAAATGTAAAATTTACACCTAAAAAATTACTGGCATTCTGCAGAGAATAAGAGAATTATTATATTACAAATTTTAGGCGAACCGACCATGTTAATAGTGTCACCTGGCTAATACTTTACAAACAAACAAACATTATTAAAAGTCTTCTGTCTTAGCTAAATGCCTCAATTTTACTCCATACGCTACAGCACGTCAGAACCGATCATATAAAATTCGTCTCTAGGCGTTGTTAACCTGATAGATAATTCTTAGCTCGCCACAAGTCAGAATATAAATGAAAAAAGTCTGACTGTAAAGCGATAATTTATTTTAATACATTATATCATCATAAATAAAATTTTAGAGCCATACTTAAAGACGCTCGGCCGAAGAAATGGTATTTTCCTTAGAATCAAACAACACTCGTACTTCCTCGTCCACGCAATGAAAATCACATGATGTAGAATTCGAAGAGGAACAAAGCAAATGAGAAGGCAATTCCAACCGCCAGGGTGAGAAAGACAGGCGCTACATCGCTTAGGTCCACTGACAGTTTCTTCTTCTCCTGGGCCTGTTGAGTGGCTAGTCGCAGTTTGAATAGGAATCGCTCGTACAGGCCCCTGAGGAGACCATGGCGTCTCATCCGCTGCAGCCTGCAAGATGTCACGTCACTCGGTGTCAGTGGC